GGTGACTCAGGTGAGGATCGAATCTCCAGGTGTGATTTGAAATTTTTGGTTTATTATTCCATTTCTAATGCGTTGATGAGCCCTATTGCACTATTCCACCGGTTTTGATAGATTCTTGAGTATGATAATGTTATGATTTTGAATCGTAGCAGTTTCGGAAGCCATAGCTCATGAATTATGATGATGTTGCGATATTTTCTAAAATTTAGTAAATTGTTTAGTAAAATAATGTTTTCTGAAATTTATTAAAATTGTTTAATAAAATTATTTTTTTGAATTTATTAAATTGTTTAGTAAAATAAAATTTTCTAAAATTTGTTCAATTTTATGTAATTAAATTAAATTGCTTTATTTTATGAAATTTATTTTAGATACACGAGTCTCATTTTTATGTTAGTACAATTCATGAAATTGAATGGGTTTAATAGTATGACTTTTATTGATAAACATGGAAATTAATAGTTTTATTTGATGATTTGCATCTAAACATGTAAAGAGGGCCTCTTTTTGTGTAAACTTTTACATGGATTTCTTACCTCATATTTTCATTTTAACAAATATAAAAATAATATGAAATTCCTTTAAAGTTTATAACTAAAAGGTGTAATGGGGCCACACTTTTTATTTTGCACATGGTCCTGGATTTTGGACCGGCTCTATAGTGTAGTAGTGATCTAAGCTATATATGCAATTTATACACTCGTTATGAATTGTATCTCATGCCATAATCTACATATGTCTATAATTTTTATGCTATTATGTTTAGAATCTTACTTCCAAAAGTTCAACAACAACAACCCATTATAATCCTAACTTCGTTGGGGGTCTGGGAGGTCAAGATATCTGGAGTCTAAGTGTCTTGCTTACCCTTAAAAAACAGAGAGTATTTTCATTAGACACTAGATACATTTCTGCATTTACGATCCAAATCTTCAACAAAAATTAAGAAGGGAAATTTAATGTTCCATTATGGTTTAGCCCTTTATGTATTTGAAACTAAATTTGTTTTTTTCAAAAGGTAAAATCCTACAGTTCCACAGAATGTAATCCAACCATATCTAGTACACCAACACAAGAAGTTTATACACCAACTTCAATTTAAAAGTTTGTGTAGTTGAATTAATATAACTTTTAATGTTTACATCATTCAATATGATGGTATGTGAATTTCTAAATATTGTTTTTGTATTATTTGTGACCCCACTTGTTACATTTCCTACGTCTGTCACTGATTAATATTCCTGCTAATCTTTTAAGGATTATAAAGATGTGAAAACAGCTAGAGGGATTTGCATGCAATCAAAGTGATGATTGATGGGATTTTGAGTTTCTTGCAAAGATAGTAAAGTTTGTTTGGGACATTGAAGGAGTTATATTCATGGAGGTGACCATTTCACCAAGTCTTCAATCCTCACGTATAATACCTGGTGAAAATAAACTGCCAAAGTTGAATGGTCCACTGAATTTCCCCAGGAGGCAATCTAAGCATCAAAGTGTCCATATATTTATTCCCTCTTATTTTGAACCTAGAAAATCTGCACGCTCGCACAGACCGGTTTTTCTGACAGCTTCATGTTCTTCTCAGAATAGCCAAGGTAGTTCTGCCTTAAAATTTCTTAAAGGTATTAATACATCACATCGCCAAGGTAGTACAAGGTTTTGAGTTGTGGAGCTCATCCTTGTGTATTATTTGGATGGTATAATAAAAACCATTTCACGGTTTTCTTTCAGTAATTGTATGTACTTGAAATCTATCAATCAAACATAGCCACAATGGAGGTTACCTTCGGGTATTACCACATATCTCTTTTACTTTTCGATTGCTCCTTCCATCTTTGATTGTGAATTTGTGTGTGTGCACATGTGCTAGTGTTTTGGTCCTAACACAATGTGAATAGATTTGTTAGATACAGTAACTTCCACTTAATTAGGAAAAATGAAAAGCATACTAGCAAGGTCTTGTTAGTTTTTTAATGAATATGTAATCCAATTTTTCTTTGCAGCTTCAGTGCTGGAATCTGAAAGATCTATTCCATCTCTGGATGGAGCTCATGTTTTAAAGGTGCATCTTTTTTGTTAGTATCTTATTTGTAGTGCCTCAGACTATTAAATGCAGTGAACCATTTTTATTGCCATAGAAGTTTTTCAATTTAGATGCTTCTGTGTTACAATTCTCTACATAGATTTACCCATTCTTGCTGATACAGTTAGTTATTTGTCTGGCAGAGCAAGTCAGAAGAGATTGTACCATATTTAAGTGGGAGATGCATATATCTTGTTGGTGAGCTTCATTGCCAGTTATTTATTATTGCTCTTAATGTTTCATAATTTCTTTCAATTGTCTGATATGGATATACATGTCAGGGATGATGGGCTCTGGCAAAACAACTGTTGGCAGAATCATGGCTGAAGCCCTTGACTATTCATTCTTCGACTGGTAAATCTCTAAAAACTTTTTTAATCTAATTATTAAAGATAATTGTGAGTTATATAAGTTGATGATCATAGGATCACCAGAACTAGATTACACATGGATGTTGTTATGTACAACCTCCGTCCTAGAGTATTTGTCCACTTTCATTTTTACACACCATCCAATACACTTCTTTAATCCATTTTATCTTGTAATTTGTATATTAAAAAATTATAGAAATTATATATTAATAATCTATATGTTAAGACAAATCAAACAAGATCACACATGACTATATTTAGGCTTACACATTGAGAGAATTTGATGAGTCAAAGTACTTAGATGAAGAGTTCCAAAAGTCAAAACTGGACGAATACTCCGGGACGGAGGGAGTAATGAACATGAATTACATTTTCTTTGTGAATACTTCAGTGATACACTTATCGAGCAAGCTGTCGGTGGATCGTCAGTTTCTGAAATCTTTAAGATACATGGTGAAGGTTTCTTTAGGGACAATGAGGTAGTAGCATAAACCTTTTCTCATCTTCTTTCTTTGGTTATTGCATACTTTGTGTGTTAAATATCTCTACGAGCACATTATCTCTAAAACAATAGGTTATAGTCGTTATAAGTCTATCCCTGAAAAATTGTTCTGTACCATTGTCACTCCCTCATTCACAATGGCATCCACATGGTACAGTGGGAGCTTGGAGGATAATTGGATATAAAATTGCGGGCAGCTGAAGTTGTGGAATATTGGATTCCACAATATATGGTGCTAAAAAATGAAAAGAGTCACCCTGTCTGATATGTGTTGATGTAGAAATACTGCTCTGTTTTAAATGTTCTGTACATGTTCATACTTACTCTTGTTCTCTCTTATTCCTTGTCTTGAATAATGAAATGTGTATTCTATCTCTATGTTTTAGACAGAGGTCTTGCGCAAACTTTCTTTGATGCGCCAGATTGTTGTTTCCACGGGTGGGGGTGCAGTTGTTCGGCCCATTAACTGGTACACATACATCAATGTATCATACATTTATACTCTATCCCAAAATAAGATTCATGGATTGACTTTGCACACATATAAAGTTAACTAAGTTGTCTGGTCGAGATTTATTCAGGAGAAATAATTTGCAGCATACATTTGTTTCCTTAACAACAAACAAAAACTTTATTTTAGAGTCAAACTAAAAGAAAACAATAAACTTATTTTGGGACTGATGGAGTTTAGGAATTTTTGTTTTTGAACTTCTCACTCAGGAAATATATGCACAAGGGCGTTAGTGTGTGGTTAGATGTACCTGTGGATGCATTGGCTAGGAGAATTTCTTCAGTTGGAACTCATTCACGGCCTCTGCTACACAATGAATCAGGAGACATTTATGCCAAGGTGTACAACTTAACCCCAAAATTGCACATAGAGAGTTTAAGCTTCTAATTTACAACTAAATGCTTCCAAAGAAGAAATACTAATGATTTTTTTTTGTGCGGCCACTTTCTTTTTTTCATCATCTAGACTCTTAAACGTTTGTCTACACTTCTCAATGAGAGGGGAAATGCATATGCGAATGCCGAAGCTAGGGTTTGCCTAGAAAGTATGAGATTGATGAGTTTCTTTCTTTTTGCCCTAAATATTTTTGTTCAATAAATATTTATTTCTGCAATACTTTTGTCTTTTCCTTCAAAATAATAAAGATTTCGACTTTTTCAGATATTGCTGCAAAGAGAGGATCCTGTGACATTTGCAACATCTCTCCTACAGAAATTGCCATTGAGGTTTCTCTCTCCCCTCTCTCTCATATGCAATTCTAAATTCATTGCAATTTTCTTCATTTATTGGCACACATCTAAATTTGGTTTAGAATGTATCTAAAGAGAGATGCGTTTTTTTGGCTTTCTCATTGCATTGTTGTATTCTCATGTTCCCAAAAAATAATCTCCACTCATGCACTAGGCTTCCTTTAGTTACATTATTTTTCCCGAATTGGTCCCGCCTAGCCTAGACCTTGGGTGCCATCACGTTTTAGATCATTGATATATTGCGACTCCCATTATATTCCACTCTTTACCGAGAAAACATATGCGTAGAAGTGATAAGGTTTTGCTCACCTAACCTGGTCCTACTCGTCGCCAGGCACTTGAACAAATCAAAAACTTCTTGAAGAAAGAAAGTGTAAAAGTGCATTGAAGTATAATTCAAAAATTTGTTGAAGAAATAGGAAGTGGAGAAGGTGCATCCGCTCTCCATTTTATATACACACATTTTGGTCACTGCTGCTCGTCGACCATATGATATTACTTTCAATATGAAGAAAGGTGTTTGAAGAATTCAAACTTGTGTTGTATTTTCTTTTGCCCTTTATCAGTTTAGTTGTATATTTCTGTAACATTTTGCTTGTTAAGTTGCATCTTTCCTTCCAATAAAACTTTTGTTCAAGAATAAACAAAACAGAGTTACCTAAGAGCTAGAGAATTGTTTGTGCAATTGGCACTGCCAATGCAATTCATGAATATTGCTGCCGACATTTGTGATAAGTTGAACTTATGGCCATTCACTGATCATCAATATTATATATACCAATAGAAACAACAGAACTATAGACAGCCTTCTTTAGCATCATCTTGTGATTTGCATCCTCCTACTCCATTGGAGGGGCCCTTGTAGTGAAAGTGTCACCAATTTTGAACTATATAACAATGCACCATTTTGACATAAATGAGTCTCCCTTCAAGCCCCATTTCCATCCTTCAAAACATTAATCTATACTAGCATTATTTGCAAACATACACTTGAATCCTTGGACTACAAATGAAGACAACATTACATTCCTAATGTTACACCCAGTGTTTTACAAACGGCATCCCCAAAATGCCCTCCACACATCACATATCAACGGCTAGACAATGCGCTATCGAGGAACCATTTGGAACCGCAAGAATCGCATCCGACCACAAAAGTGTCCCATGTAAACCCCCATCTTCATCTCTTCCAACCTTAACCTCGGCACACATTATTTGGACGTCTTTGCCCCTCCCGTTCTCTTCCCAAGCCACACACAATCTCTCTTCAAAGTTCACCATTGTTGCACCACATGAGAATCTCGGTAACCCCTTCTCAATACCCTTCAACTCCTTCCACACATCTTCTTTCATGTCATACCCCTTGATTTTACCCCTAGAATCATAGCAGTAGAGCACCCCGCCCACCACCGCGGCCCGCCCTCTCCACCCCAAGTCCAACCGTTTTGGGACGGTTCCCCACTCTCCAACCCTGGCATCATACACCACGCCGCCCCTATCTGCCATGGCATAGACTTTACTCCCCATCACCGTGCTGGCATGCATCCATTTGTCCCGGATCTCAATCGGGCTGGGCAATGCAGACCAAGACCCGGAAACCGGGTCGAAAACCTCCGCCCAGTTAGTAGACCGGACCCAATTGTCAACAACACAGCCACCCATCACGTATATCCTCCCGCCCACAACTCCTGAGGCGGCGAACTCCCTGGCGACCTTCATTCTCGGCCCCATTTCCCACCGATTGAACCAGCAATCGAAAACCCAGACGGAGTTGGAGGGAACATCCTTGATAGATCCGCCGATCACGTAGATCTTGTGACCCAGAACCGCAAAAGCGGCGCCGATGGGCCGAGAAGGGATGGGCGGGAGAGGCGACGGCGGATATCTGGAATCGAGGAGGGCGAACCAGTGGAAAGAGGAGTCGATGCGGAGGATGAGGTAGAGAAAGGTCTGGGTGGTGCGGAGGAGCAGGGATCGAGTGGTGAGAAGCGCAGCGGAGAGGACCGTGGACCTCCATTGCTTGCAGACTAGAGAGAGGATGAGGTGGTATATCGGATGGAGTCGTGCCAGGCACTGCAGAGCGACTCCGTCCGGGAGGCCGGGGATAAGCTGCGAAGTGGGTGGATCCCCGCTGCTCCGGTCAGCCATCAAGAAGAGAAGAGCTAGCGGTGCTCCGGTCACATAGATCGATTAAAAATCATGAGTAAATATCAAGTGAGGTCCTTCGTTCATGTATACTTTTCATAGTCCCTTTTCTATCATGTTGGTGTTAATTTGAGGGCTAAAAATGTAATTTCACAATAATAATATATCTTTTTTGTCATACACAATTCCAAAGGCTGTTCCGTTTGCGTCGTTTGTGAATTACAGTGTTGCTTTTTTCGACAACTATAATCTACAAATGTGATCTTTCGTCAGAATCCTAGCCCACAATCATAGTCATTATTTTTGTGTTGTCCGCTTAACCAATATCAGAAAACACGTCACTAGACATAATGTTGACGTCAAATTATACTCTTAGCCTTTAAATTAACACCAACATGGCAGAAGATAAAAAAAAGGACCATTTGTGGAAAGGTACCCTTAAAAAAGGACTACGGGTTAATATTTGATAATAAAGGACTAAATATGGAAACCCCAGTTATAAAGGACCAATTATGAAATTTACTCAAAAATCATTGATTATAAAACCAATGATGGAAATGTTCTTAAAAATATTAAAACCAATTATCTAGTATTTGATTTTAATAAATAATCAGAAATAAAATAAATTTTAGCCTAAAATCTCTTGATGTTGATGAGGGTATATTTACCCCTCCAAAATTGAAGAGGATATTTTACCCTATAGTATACCTCTTCCATTGGGGATGGGATCCTCTGTCCTCCACTCCACGTCCCTCCTCCCTCCTCCACTTACATTTTGCCATACTAGTATTTTGACTCGTGCCACGCACGGGTCAAATGAAATTTTTTGTTGATTCAAAATTTGGTTTTTATTTAATATTTTTCCAGATAAAAAAAGTGATATTTCTAACACGATTTTTTAACATTACATGATTGACATTAACGTCAAAGTAAAGTAAACAATATTGAAAAATTTTAAGTGTGCACAACAAAGTCTTGGCATGTCGACTTGATAGAAGCTTGTATTTCGAAGCATGCCAAGTCTTTTAGTTTGAGAAAAGAGCACGTCTTATTTGTTTTCAAAACTTATTTATAAAATTCAAATGGTTTCAAACAATGTACACACACCCTTTGATCATTTCTCGACGATTTTCTGATTGTTTTTCGGTGAAGGGGCATTGGTGTCTATTTTCCAAATCATATGGGGTAATAGAACTCATTTTCTATTTTCCATTTTTTTGGTTTTCCCCTTTTTTATCTCATTTTTTACTTCTCTGTTTCTTTTTTTAAAGGGTTTTTTTATATTTATTTTTTAAACCTTTTAAATAATGTTTTAAAAATTACAATATTATTTTGTTTGAAATAAAAAATAAACAAAAAGGGAAAAAATAAAAATATCACTTTTGTGAACTTTTTCTGCACACTAATCTAGTTAGTATTATTCTACATTATTAACAAACTAACAATTGCAAGGCTACCAAAAACTCAAGTAGAAAAAAATCAACCAACCCAAGAAGATGGGAAAAGGTAATGAAAGGGTTATTTGTATGAAGGGTCAAAAAAAACAATTCAAATTATGTGAGAGGAAAATGGAATAAAACAAATTTGCTATTTAGATTGTCTGCACTTCATCAAACAGTGAAATAGCAATTAGTCAATAAAACTTTTCACACTCATCTAGATCATGAGATGAGAGTGTCTTTAAAAACAATATCTCTACTTGTAAGCAGGGTAGGGTGCGTGTACCCACCCCCCTAAACCCTACTATTATAAAATTCAATTAAGTTAAATTGTTGATGTGTGTGTAACAGTGTAACACTCCTTAGTAAATAATAGATATCATTAAACTGGTATTATTAATAATAATACCTATTTATTCTGGCTGATGCCAACTTATAAAGTGTAGCATTGAAAATTGCCTATATATGCTTATGAGATAGTATCCTTCATTCTTGTCAAGGCATTTAAAAAAAGTTACAACTTAGAGCATATTTCAAATCTGACTTTCCATGCAAGTCCAAGCACTCGATGAACATGCTTTTAATACACCTTTGAGTAGTGAGAGCTTTTACGATCTAATCATAATAAAAAAATCGAATTACAACATTTATAGGGATAAATTAATCAAGTTTTGATGAAGCATATTATATTAACCAAAATGAATAATACATACCAATGAGCTTGACACGTATGAGCAAACATAATGGCAATAAAGCTCTTTGCAAAGTTTGTTGGAAAGCATTACGCAGTGGATTTGATGCATTAGTGAAGGAAGCAAGTAAAATGACCTTCAGACATCGATCTAGAATCAATACTAATTAGAAGTCCATGTGAAATATGAACATAGTGCTATGATTTTATGGATACAAAATATTTGGTGTGTGAAGAATTTGTAAAGACATGAGTATAGTCATAGGTAAGTAGAGATAGTATATTGTAATTAAAATATAAAACTTTCCATTAAAACAAATACAGTTCTAAAAAGAAGAACCATACAAAATTTGTAATCTTAAAAACTAAATAAATAAAGAGAAGATATATCACATAACATACAATTATTATATGTAAATATCAAAGTTTGCCTTAAAAATATACTTCAAAATTTATACATATACTCCACACTTAAGAAAGGAAGGTCTTTAGCTAAGAATTCTACTCAAGTGGAGCAAGATAAGAATCAATTGTTCTACTTTACGAAGTATAGCAGAAAGGTAAACAATATGGACCCTTCAATTCACCAAAAAAAAGAACTTGGATAACACTTGCTAAAATCTTGCTAAAATCAGCTCATTTTATCCGTCGATGACAACACAATGAATATTGATATTAAGTAAGTTTATATGCGCTTGAATTGAAGATTAAAGAAACAGAGAATTAATTCATTGAGCTCATATATGCAGTAATGTCATAGAAAGTAGAAATAGAGATGATATATACCTTCATTTTGAGCATTGGTCTTTTAAGTTTTTGTAAATAAAGGACTTCTGAAACGCAAGCTTATTACTGTTTGAAGGCCATTTATCACAACCGTACTCGAGAGCAACACATGTTACTTGGTGATGAACCAAAAACAATAACAACCAAAGCTATCTCACCATGTCCTTTATCTTCTTTGGCCTACTCCTATCTATTTTCTTCTCTGATGTAGTGTCCTGAATCATCTCGTCTGCAATTTTGTTAAAATGCAAACATCAGAGCCAGAGTATCCTATCAAAAAATTGAAACTTCATTCAACATAAAAATTAAGTTTGTATTTACCTCTAAAATTTACCTCAAATAATAAAGGAATACAACTAACTGTTTACGGCATAAAGTCTTGATTAAATCGTAAAAAATCTCATATCAAGAAATAAAGAAACGAAAGATATAATTAAAAACAAAAGTAGAGGTACAAATGAATGCCAAATGAATGACCTAGAGGTGACAAAAAATCCAAATGATAATGCCAGATCTAAAAATAAAGGAATTTATAAATGGGAAACCATTACGGATGGGAGCAAGACATTGATCTCATAAGCAATTAAAAAACCAATTATGAATCATTTAGGATAGAAAGATTTATAAAGGCAAGAAAAAATAGTATCACACGGACACATTAAAGTCTACATAGTGGTTTGGATTATAATTCATTAAACCAACATCTAAAGAGTATGGAAACGTCTCCTACTCTAACCACATTGACGTTTGTGACAGTAAATTACAAAGGTTAAAAGGTTAACAGAGGGGGGAATGTAAATTGAGTATTAAATAAAGAACTGGAGTATACCCGCATATGAGAATGTAGGATATAAAAAAATATAATGCAATATGCTGAAATTTGCCATTTGTTGATAAAGTGGTAAGTACTAAGTACTAACATTTGGCATAAACATGAAAAATTTAAAAACTCTACGAAAAACACCTAGGAGAATAAGACCTTTTGAACAGGCTGCATCAATATAAAACTTTGCCAAAAAAACCTTGGAGAGCACTTGCTAAAATCGGCTCATTTTATCCATAGATGAGAGCAGAATGAGTATTGTTATCAAGTAACGTTATATCCGCTTGAAGATTAAAGAAACAGTGAATTATTTCATTGAACTCATATATGCAGTAATGTCATAAAAAAATCGAAACAGAGATGATATATGCCTTCATTGTGAGCATTAGTCTTTAAAGTTTTTGTAAGGACTTCTGAAACGCATGCTTACTGTTCTTTGAAGGCCATTCATCACAACCAACTGTACTCGAGAGCAAAACATGTTACTTGGGGATGAATCAAAAACAATAACAACCAAAGCTATCTCACCATGTCTTTTATCTTCTTTGACCTCTTCCTATCTATTTTCTTCTCTGGTGTATCGTGTCCTGAATCATCCTATCTGCAATCTTGTTAAAATACAAAAATCAGAGCCAAGGTATCCTATATAAAATTTGAAGCTACTTTCAGCATAAAATAAGCTTGTATGACCTCTAAAATTTACCTAAAATAATAAAAGAATGCAGCTAATTATTCACGGCCAAAAATTCTGATTAAATCGTAAAAAATCTCATATCAAGAAATAAAAAAAACTAAAGAGGCCAGGTAATTAAAACAAAAGTAGAGGTACAATTGAATGCCAAGTCCATAAGTATGACCTAGAAGTGACAAAAAATCCAAATGACAATGCGAGATCTAAAAAAGAACATATAAATGGGAAACCATTACAGATGGGAGCAAGACATTGATCTCATAAGCAATTGGAAACCAATTATGAATCATATAGGATAGAAAGATTTATAAAGGCAAGAATAAATTATAAATATTATCACATCACACACATCAAAGCCTACATTGTGGTTTGGATAAAAATCATTAAACCAACATCTAAAGAGCATAGAAAAGTCTCCTACTTTAACCAAATTGACATTTGTGATAGTACATTAAAAAGTTAACGGAGGGGCGAATGTAAATGGAGTATTAAATAAAGAACTGGAGCATACCCGCATTCCATTTTTCTTAGGCTGAATAACGGTGAAACATATGAAGGAATGAAGGATATAAAAAAATATAATGCAATAAGCTGAAATGTGTCATTTGTTGATAAAGTGGTAAGTATTAACATTTGATGTATACATGCAAAATTCTAAAACTCTATGAAAAAACACCTAGGAGAATAAGACCTTTGAACAGGCTGTATCAATATCAATTTTTGTCGAAAAAATCCATGAGAATACTTGCTAAAATCGACTCATTTTATCCGTAGATAACAACATAATGCTGTTATCAAGTAGCGTTATATGCGCTTGAAAATTAAGGAAACAGAGAATTAATTCATTGAACTCATATATGCAGTAATGTCATGACAAAGTAGAAATAGAGATCATATATACCTTCATTGTGAGCATTGGTCTTTTGAGTTTTTTTAGGAGGCCAGGTTAAATGTTATAAATATGCAGTAATGAACAGTTTGGCAAATGCTCAAAAATGAAATAGAGATCATACATGCAGTAATGTCATAAAAAAGTAGATGAACAGTTTGGAAAAAATGAACAAATTCAAAAATGAACAGTTTGGAAAAAATGAAGTTTGGCACAAATGAACAAATTCAGAGTAACCTGGCCTCATATGTCTCTTGTTCAACAAAGTATATAAGACAACAAACAATACAATCATATTATTGTTGCGTACAAATATAAAGTAAATTTTTGAATGAACCAATACAAAGTAATTTTACTTGGAATATTTGTAATGCACAAAAAATAGAGTAATTTGGCCTCATAAGTTTTTTCTACAACGGATTATATAAGAAAGCATTTCAATTTTATTAAATTTAATAACAATTTTATTGAATTGAAGAAGGAAACTTACAATAGATAGGATCAAAATTGGAAATTTTGAGATCTTTCACATGGAGAAGAAATTTCGCCAACATCCAAGAAGGATAGTCTAGATCTTGCGAACTAAGAATGGCAATTTCGATATACTCAAAGAAGGGGGAAGATAGAAGATGGAAATTTCCATGGCATCCGAGCAGTGCGAAGAAGAGAAACCAAATCCATAGGGTGATTCCACAGAGCTCGATTTCAAGTAGACGCGGAACAGGAGATTAGGGTGAAAAGATTTCCTTTCCTTTGTCCTTTCATTCGTTGAAAACTGCGTAGGGAAGCGTCTGTGAATTTTGTGAAGGGAGAGACACTTGTAAGCTTATTTGTCAAAAAAATAAAACTCTTAATTTGCCACGTGTCAAAATTCTAGGCTATCAAACTCTCAAATATTATATTAAAAGGATAACTCACCCCACCCTAATTTAACACACACCCACCCTCTTGATGGATGGTGGGATAGGGGGTCATATGGGGTGGGTGGGTGTTAAATTAGAGTGGAGTGGGTTATGTGGCAAAATGTGAGTGGATGAAGGAGGGGGGCAGGGTTTTGGCACAGGGAGTAGGGGACAGAGGATCCCATGGAAATTGTTTGTTTTTTATATAAAGAAGGTAACGGTGGTTGTTAGAGCCTTTTATCACCTCTTAAGGTATAATAGTTGAACTGTATGAACACGGTAAAATTAAATTGGTACCAAAAAATGCTTATGTGGTAATTTGACAAAGAAGGTAACACCATTCCTCGCATTTTGATATTAAAAAAATATCTATAATAGCATGTATGCACTTGCCGATCATACTGGAGACTAAAGCATAACTCTTCCATGATTTTACGGTAAAATTTTTACCAATCACATATAAATTTGTATTCGTATTTGCTTTCTTTCGAGTTCTAATAAATATTTATATTTTTATGCATATTCATTTTTTTGAATACGAATCATTGATTTTAAATACAAATCAGGAATCGAATCAAATTCGTTTTACAGCCCTAGTTGAAAGAGAAACATTTTTTTAAAAAATGGGTGTGATTTAAACAATGCAATGAGCATTAGATGAAGAAGGAAGATCGTCCCGTATGATGGGTAAAAGGATAAACTAATTTACTGAATGTATTTGATACCAAATACTACCTCCGTCCCAGAGTATTTGTCCACTTTCATTTTTAGACACCATCCAATGCACTTATTTAATCCATTTTATCTTGTAATTTGTATATTAAAAAATTATAGAAAATTATATATTAATAATCTATATGTTAAGACAAATCAAACAAGATCACACATGACTATATTTAGGCTTACACATTGAGAAAATTTGATGAGTCAAAGTGTTTAGATGAACAGTTACAAAAGTCAAAACTAGACGAATACTCCGGGACGGAGGAAGTAGTATGGATGATATTACCCTTTTTACCAAAATGCCACATCGCCTTATTTTGATAACAAATTACTTTTACATACTCCAGCACCCTTAGCCCACATGTTTACAAATCTGTACGGCTTAGAAGTTAGAACCACAAGTTGTGACACCATGAAGGGAAAACACCGCGAGGGATGTCCAATGTCCATGAACTCCCCCTGAACCCCATATCCGTATCCGTCTAGTCCTGGTTGACGGACAAGTTGGAAGAAGGTAAACACGAAATCCAACCCATTGAAACGCGAAGAAGAGATGCCCACTCTAATCTCTTTTCGATGTGCTCTGCCTCCTTTGACCTCCCAAATTAATCGCAGAAATTTGAGGCCCAGGATCACCCTCCCCGCCTCCGCCTCCGCCTCCTCCTCCCCAGCTCCGGCGGGTGTTGACTTGAACCCTCTCGTGTCCGCCCTCTCCAAGGTAACCATCTTCACTCTCCCTCCATCCACTGTTTCCATTACAAGCCTTCATCAGTAGTAATACATTGCCTTGTTTTTATTTAATCTGCAAGTCTTCTTAAGAGCTACTTACAAAATTGTCGAAATCATTGGAGTTGATGACTTGATTATTGTTTTTATTGGATATATAAGCAGAAAGACAGTGGAGCTGTGAAGGAGGCACTTGATGAATTGTGTGAAATTGGCTGGGCCAGAAAATGGAGTTCTCAGCCATATGTTTCTCGCCGCACAGTAAGCCAGATCTGCCATTTACTACAGTTTTCAAATATATAATACCTACAGAGAGTAATATTAGAAGATCTGCCATAGACGCCTGTTCGAGAGCTGGCAATGCTTGGGATAAAAAATGCTGAAAATCTCGGAATCCCCAGTGTTCGAAATGATGTGAGTTGCAATCATACTTGGTTTGTCCATGTGAATAAGACCATTTAGATTAATATTTGTGATCTGAGTTCATGGGATTCTGATTTGTTCCAGTGCTGTAGGCTGCATTTCTCTTCACAGTAGTAGGAACTACAGGGTTTTTGGCTGTTCTTGCCGGTCAACTTCCCGGGGTAACTTCTGCCGCTATCTACTACTTCAAAACACATCCTTTCATGGCAAACTTGCATCTTTTTTTAGAATCAACTAACACTACATTCATATTACATGTGTATCTCCAAATCCGATACACTCAATCTTTTAGTTTGGCTGGACTCAACTAGTGTCTCTTATGGTTTGTAGTTGAGTGACTTAAACAGTCTGGAATTTTATCATGAATAAAGTCAAATAGGCTTTCTTGTGGAGCTGAGATGTTTATACCACTAAACATGTGTTTCTTCTAAAGCCTACGATTTTCTGAGCCTCTTGTTTCCAGAGAAGTGTGTGTATTGCACGACTATCATCACATCAGTACAAAATGATATACTCCCTCCATCCTCGGAATGGATTCTATGGTTTTGAATTCTGAGAGTTGAAGAAAATGTGTTGAAAAGTAAAAATTGTTTGGTTAAAATTTGTTTGGAAGAGAGAGGATTGTTAAGAGCGACATATTCTATTCTTGAAAACAAATATAGAAAATTACAAGTTTTATTTTGGGACAAACATAAAAAGAAAATGTGGAGTTAATTTGAAGATGGAGGGTGTACTTTTTTTTGTCATCATATACGACAGTGAGCATTAACCAAACACACTACACTACCTTGAAATCATTTTGAGTAAATGATTATGTATCATTAAATTTTTCCATCATCTCTAATGAAGCAAAAAATTCACTATTATTTGGCTTTGGGGTGTGATAGAATAAAGCAAAATGGATCTCTAAACTATTTGCGCTTCTTTAACTAATGAAGTAGCAGTTAGTCAATCAATGCAACTTTCAACGTTGAGCCAAGGGTCTCTTTGGAAACAGCCTTTCTACTTTTGGGTAGGGGTAAGATCTGCGTACACACACCATCCCCAGACCCTACTCTTGTGGGATTCAACTGGGTTGTTGTTGTTGTTGTTATTGTTGTTGATTATGTATCATGAAATTGCCAAAGTTTCTTGGTAGATGCTAAATGCCTAAATCACATAGGTATACTGACATATTTGTGCAACTATTCCTGCATCCAGGATTGGGGATTTTTTGTACCCTATTTGGTTGGGAGCATTTCCTTGATAGTCTTGGCTGTGGGAAGTGTTTCCCCCGGGTAAGTTACTAATTATTATCCTATATTAACGTACTAGATGGATTTTTCCAAAGAGGGTGCGTCGTTGTAATACCTAAAAAGTAAATATACTTTTTGTGTAGCCTTCTCCAGGCGGCCATTGAAGGATTTTCTTCATTTTTTCCCAACTACAAAGAGAGAATCGCCAGTCATGAAGCAGCTCACTTCTTAGGTGACCTTTCTGCACATTAGAATATTCCAGGGGGAAGTATATGTTTTTACTTGCTGTTCATTTACATCTCACCGTTCAGCTTCTCTTATTAATCTTGCCGCTGAGAGACAACAATTTGACAAAGATTGGAAATTGAATTTCAGTTGCTTACTTACTCGGCATTCCCATCCTCGGCTACTCCCTTGATATCGGGAAAGAACATGTCAATCTTATTGATGAGAGGCTGGAAAAACTGATATATAGCGGGCAACTTGATGGAAAGGAATTAGATAGGTACCAAATTCTATGCTTCTGTCACTTCTTAATTGTTTGACATTGAAGTGCTTTTCTTGAAGGATCATCGTCTTTTATTAATATGAACTCTAAGGTAGCATGACTCATTTATGAAATGTAAGATTGCGTGAAAATAGTGTTAGATAATTATCCTAATTTATATCCTATCGTATATTGGAAACTCTTGTATATTCTACGGAGTATTTCACAATAAATTTTGTAACAAATCGTAATGGAAATTCCCAGGCTAGCAGTTGTAGCAATGGCCGGGTTGGCAGCAGAAGGTCTTAAGTACGATGAAGTGTTGGGTCAATCAGCAGATCTCTTCACTCTTCAGGTCTGTGAACTGTTCTATCTATTATCCATGTCTTTTTTTTCTGACTTAATATGGAACTGTTGCTTTCTTTTGGTGTATGACAGAGATTTATTAACAGGAGCAAACCAGCACTTGGCAGAGAACAACAGCAAAATCTGACTAGATGGGCTGTAACGATTCTCTCGTGTTGCTTTGCATTTTAGAGACTAGCTTGGTTTTGTATATCTTGTCCTGTTAGTTCGAAGGTGTTTTTTTAATGGTTGATTTGTGGAAGGATATAATCTGTTGCAGGTTCTGTTTGCTGGCTCAATGATTAAGAATAACAGAGCACTCCATGAAGCCCTGATTGCAGCCATGTCCAAGAAGGCTTCTGTTATAGAATGCATAGAAGCAATTGAGGCTGCTGCTGCTGCTTGAGTAGGCCTGTAAATGAGCTGGGTTTTTTTTTTACCAAGTTTTGACCCGGGATAGTTCGGAGTTATATATTTTGCACATATGGGTATCGAAACATATTATTTGGATTTGGTTAACGTTTATACATTGACTTGCTCTATCCAGATATCATATGGTTAGAAACCAATGTCATGGAAAAGTATTCGAATAATCAACTATTCTTGTGAGTTTGGGAAAGGTGTTAATTATTCGAACAAGCAATCAAATATGATCGTTACTGTCAGTTGAGTTATTCGATTAACTCAATAAAGCTATTCGGATAACCTTAACAAAAAATGCCCAACGGTCACAGAAAATAATATGATGCTTTATCTTAAAATAAATTTTTTTTGTCTTGATAGAACATTCTTGACTTTCTTTGCAATAACCCGCACCTCCATCATGAGTGATTTTCCATGATCTTTCTCTTCCTGCTTACTTGTTAGAGTATATAAAATTATTTCTGGATCACAATCACAAGCTTGAGCTTTTAGTTGACTTGACTTCTTAACATGATACAGAATTTCTATGACCAAGAAGTCACGAGTTCGAAAATCACCTTCACGTCACGCCTGCTTGTGGGGAGGTGTGTTAGAGTATATAAAAATTATTTTTAGGCCATACTCGCAAACTTGAACTTCTAGCTGATTTTGTTCCTTGACACCACCAAGTCATAGTTTTGTTGTGATTTGTTAAACTAAAATCAATCCGATCTCTCTCGGATTTTGACTCTTTGATTTGTCTTTCTATTGATCGGGAGTTTACACTTTTCAATTTTCATCAATTTTAGGTTAATTTTGAATAAATTCAGTTTTTACCTCATGCTGGACTGATTGTCCTTCATCTCTTCAAACTTCTTTTGAGCTTTTGATGCCGGCGGACGTTACACAGTTGACAATGCAAGAAATGCTAAGAGAGTAGACCCCAATTTCCATTCTAGAACTGCGCTGGGAGACAACTATGCTAAGTATAGGACCTCCGCAAGTAAGATGTGCATGCTTCACTATTTGCCACTAATCTGTGATCAAAGTTTAATTTACTTCTTCTCATTGACCGTCCATTCGAATCTGAGGACCCTCGGGATGGGGCTTATCTTTTTTTCTTTTGAGCTTCTGACAACTCCATCATGTTAAACAAGCCACAAACTGTAGGACGATGGATATTCCACATGGACAACTGGGCTAAAGACTAGGGTGGTTAGGAATTAACGTCTAGAGAGACACCTTAACAAATGAGACGGGCTAAAACTGTTTCCGATATCATGATAAAATCTAAGATGGGTAGGGATCACTGGATTAAACTATAAGATACTTGGGCTGAACCACATTAAAACATAGAAACGAGTCAATTAACCGATCGATTCATCTTACAAGCTTACAAACGTGTTAGATTCTTTTTAATATTCCATTGCGGGATAGACTTTTACAGTATCTGTCTAGTTTTGGCTTTTTACAATTAAAAGAGATCGATCTTTTATGTATAATTAAACAAAAATTACGTTTTTTCAATATATAATAAAATTTTATTTAATCAATAGTCAAATTTTATAAATTTTGACTGCAAATATTTAAAAATGGACAAATAACTTGAGACGAAGATAATTTAATTTTAGGAACTAAGACCAACATTACCAAAGAGTGACGAAGGTAGTATAGAAAAAGAATGAAGGGTAAATTTTTTTTAGCAAGAAGGATGGGTAAATTAGTGATATGAAAAAGCATGACGGTTTTGTAGCCTCTATTGTTTTATTCCTATTTTCAAAAATCTTTTCTTTTAATTAATGTATAAGAAAAAGTTAAAAATAGGAGTAAGACATTGAAAATATACTAAAATAGGAACTTCAAATTTTTATTTTCAAAATATGAATTAAAATACATTTACAGTTTCAATCATGACTATCTACATTACAAAAAAAATATTATGATATGATCATATACTGGGTCACATTACCATAGTGTCCGCTCTTATTTAATGAATAAGAACATAGAATTTTATTTAGGTACTTTCTTTATGTTATACTCCTATTTAAAGTAATTTTTAATGTATCATTTTTTATAACATTTACTCTTGTATTAATTTAGAACTATATTTATTAATGATCAAAATATATAACAACTTGACTAAAAAAAAGGTGAAACTTTAGGAATAATTTTTCTTCTTCTCAATTATAATATCTCACTTTTGGTTTATTTCCATACCAAAATAGAAATTTACTTCCCGCGTCTTCAAAAGATAGACACTTTCATACCAGAAAAAAATTTAAGTTTTTTATGTTCATTTTAGTTAAAGATTGATAAAGAAATAAAAAAAAATTGTGTGTGTGTGAATATGTGTGTGTGTGTGTGTGTATATATATATATATATTAATATAAAAAATTTAACAAAACAAGAGTTTTTTTCTTTAAAAAAACTGCACAAAATAAGAGATCGAAACAATATTTTATTTTTTCAAATAATCAATACAAATGTCAATCTTTTTGCAAAGAAAAGGTGTAATTTTTGTTAGGGTGCTTCTTTGGTGCATACCATTTTTGTGGACCTTTTTACATAAATAATCTTTTTTTGTTAACATTTTTTTATATTAAAATATTAGATGCTTATTTAAATAATAAGAAAATGCTTATTTTGCTCACATGTAGGTCCATGATGGATCTTAGGTCTATCATAGAATTTGTGTTTTTGTTATGGGATAAAAGAAATCACTCTAAGTAGAACTAAAACATAGAAAAAGTACCAAAATTGGAGTCCATATTTTTATTTCTTAAACAGCAGTTTTCACTGTTTTAACTCTTATTTTAAGAATAAAATTATAAAAATATGGAACCTCTATTTTGGTACATTTTAAATGTTTTATTTCTATACTACTTTATTTTTTTTAAATAGAATATTGGGATTATAGCTAACCCATTATTATTAATGTACGTAATCCGAGTGAGCTCTAGCTAGCCCCAAGGCCCCCAATTCGTTCCATTGAATTCCTCCGCGATTAATATAATTAGATTCCCACTTCACAAGAATATCATAATATCTCTCAATTAAGTTCCTCCATTCATGATTACCACTATACTCCGTATTACTTTGTTCATCCCTCCATCACAGTAAAAGAAAATAATCAAAGTGAAATTTGTTAGAATGGTGCTAAACTCATGGCAATTTCCGTTACGCTATGTGTAGTGTACAGTGTTTTTGGCTTAAAAAATTGGGTTTTGGGTCGGGTTTGGGTTTCGGTTTTAAAGTCGGGTCAGATTTGGGTATAGTACTATCCAGCCCGAACCTGACCCGTTGCCATCCCTAGGTGTACTAGTACTGTTTATTATATTCCTAATCATCATTTATTTAGCGCCACATCCATCAGCGCCACATGCATTACTGATTGTACTCACTATCTCGAGCACTTCACATTCATATCGCCCCAAATCTATTGTAATAATTATACTTTTATTTTACTTATTACCTATTTTTTCAAATTAAATTCTCTTTTATAAAATAATAAAAAACTTATTTTTATATGTTTTTTGGTTTAATCATTCAATTCTCTTTCATGTTTATTATTTGTTTCATTATATTAGGGATAATTCATTTTTATTTTTCCATTTTGTTCGATCAATTTTTTATATTACACTTCGTAACAATTAAATTAAAAAGGCATAAACTATGTTAATTACAAAAAAGTACACAATTCCACGGTACCGCTCTATTACCAACTTATACTTCCTCCGTCACTGAAACATCTTATCTTATTATTGACCTTTTGAAGATTTAAAGAAGAAATATTTTTATATTGATTTTCTAAAAATACCCTTAATGTGATGTGTAAAAGTAAGATGTGATATGTAGATTATTAGTAAAAAGGTATAATGTGATAGGTTGCAATATGAAAAAGTAAGTGGTAAAAGTTATCGAGAGGAGAGAGAAAAAACATTGTAATCTATTTAGAGATGGAGGGAGTAATAGATAAGGGAACATTTTTTAAGGACAACAAATTAAAAAAATGAAAGAGGAAGATCTTTTAGAGACTGAAAGAGTACTAAATTACATGTGTATGTATATATTCTCTATTTAATAACATATGAATAGGGATGAATGAACCCAAAGAACTTTAAATTTTAAGAGCCTGTTTGGGGATAGCGTTAGAGATTAGCATTAGCGTATTGGGTATAATTTTAACGGTGCAGATTATTTTGAAAACGCTAATCGCTAACGCTATTTCCAAGCAAGCCCTAAATGGACCAAATACAAAATTTTAGAGAGATTAAAGCATACGAAGGAAGATTTAATTACAAAGAGACTAATTCAATTCCTTAAAATTAAAGTAATAATTTTGCAAGGATGATTTAATAAAAATTTATTAGAGGGAATATATTCCATGTCACCGTGTGAAATTTCATTTTTTATTGGTTCAAATATTCCATGTCATCATGTGACATTTAATTTTTGTCTTGTCATTTTTAATGCTCTTATACTTAATTACATGGTTATATATTCTCTATTTAGAGCTTGTTCTTTAAGAATGGAAAAAAAGATCTAGATATTGGAAGAAATTGGAAAAAACTTAAAAGACTGGAAGAAACGGGAAGGGACTGGAAGAATTAGAAGAAACTGGAAGAAACAGGAAGGAACGAGAAGAAACTGGAAGGGACTGGAAGAATTGGAAAAAACCGGAAGAAATAAGAAAGAACTGGAAAAAACTAGAAGAAACTGGAAGAAACTAGAAAAACTTCAAAAAACTGAAAAACCTAAAAAAACTTAAAAAAATTATTTTAGTGTATATTTATATTATTCTAATTCTAGTTGTTATAAATTATTATTATTATTATTATTATTATTATATTATTATTATTATTATTATTATTATTAGTATTACTATCATCATCATCATCACGTTATCTTAATGAATGCTTTTAAGAAAAAAAGTATTATTATTTTTCAAATACAAAAAACTACTTTTACAGTAAAAATAATTATAATATAAAGTTATCATAAATATCAAAATGTTAAATTTTAAAAAGTTTTTGTGGTAACGTTGCACCTCAATTTATTTATGCAGTATTTATTATAAAGAATATATATTTTTAATTATACGTTATATATATCAAGATTTTGTTTTAAATATTAGACGTGTCACAAAATGTAATTAAACCTAATTTTGTCATGATTGACATAGAACTTTTTTTACATTTTTATGTTTTACTCCTATTTTACTTTTTTTTCTCTAAACTATTTTGACTTTCAATTTTTTTTATAAAAATTTAAAAAAATGAGAAAATTTTGAGTAATACTCCCTCCGTCCTAGAGTATTTGTCCAGTTTTGACTTTTGGAACTGTTCATCCAAGTACTTTGACTCATCAAATTCTCTTAATGTGTAAGCCTAAATATAGTCATGTGTAATCTTGTTTGATTTGTCTTAACATATAGATTATTAATTTATAATTTTTATAATTTTTTAATATACATGTTTTTCTGTCTTATCATGTAGATTAATATACAAAAAAATATCTTATTCATATTAAAAAGTTGAATAAAAAATAATGAGTGTGAATCGTAAAAATAAAGAGATGAAAAAAATACTCCGTAATTTATAAACTATAGTTATGAACATAACAGTTGTAATAATAATACTCCCTCCGTCCGGGAATGATGTTCCCATTGTACGTTTTTCTCCGTCCGGGAATGATGTTCCCATTGTACGCTTTTTCCTCTATTCTCCCTAAAATACCCCTCTCATTTAATATCCATATTCAGTCCTCCTATCTACCCAACCCGCCCACCTCCCCAATTAAACCCTCTCGCCCCTCTTTAGATCTAATCTACTCTCTCTCTGTCGGTTCTTCTTCTCTCCCAATCCCTAGATTACGATCGTTCCTCTCCCAGATCTATACATCTCCGCCTGAATTCATGGAATCTGATTACTTTCTTTACGATTCCATCATCCCTGAGACAGAATTTCAGGACATTGGAGTTGAGGACGAGGTGATTCACCTATCTTCCACCTCTGACGCGAAGAAGGAGGACGAGGTCATCGTCATCCACAGCGATGACGATGATGCCGATGTTGCCCCGGTCAGAGATAAGAACGCGGTTATCATGAAGATTCACTGTTTGGGAGCGAGGAAGATGGCAGTATTGAGGATGTAGAGGGGTCTGAATTTCTTGAGAATCAGACTTCTCCATCCATGAACTCATGCATGCACCTCCACATTGATCTGCTGAACATATTAATGCCCACCCCGGATCCTAACTTTTGGGCATCACAGTACAAGTAGGGAAGTTCCTTTCCTTTCACTCTAATTCTTTCTGATTTTATTCTGAATTGAATTTCAAATTTGTGCTTCTCTTAAGTGGAGAGTGTGTACTGTGATGAGCATTTTCCTATGAATATGTTAAGTCTGTACTGTGATCATTTTGTATGAATCTGTTAAATGTGTACTGTGATGAGCCATTTGCATATCTGGAAATGGATCTGAGTACCAATGGCTCTGCCCTGAGAATAAAGTGTGTGCTAATTGCAATGTGTAAATGCCTTGGCCAATGTCTATGAAGACTGCTACTAGCATTGTCTGAGACCAAAAGTACTATGATGATGTGGGATATGCCTCTGAGTACTAAAGTCAGCAATGATGATGTGGGATATGTTTTTGAGACTGATATGTTGGCTGTTGTTTATATGTGAACAAAATTACATTTAGAGTAGATTGTGTGTAGTTACCTTGATGTGAGTACATATATAGTAGTGTATAAACAGGTGCAAAAACCAAATAAACCAATCTACCTAATGTGGGTACCAGTTACATAATCTGGTTACCTCTTAACAAAAAACAAAAACCCAAAAATCATTGATGCTTACAACATTGGATTCAGTTCAACTCTGAAGAGAAGTACTCATCACCCTCTTCATTGTTGAACTCAACCATGTCTGCATTGATAGCCCCATTCTGTTCTCCCAGCAGTGTTGATGTCTTTTGGATTAAGCCTATGTCTATGCTCAAGGAATCTGGCAGTGTCCCTGCCATTGCTAGTCTGTCTTTTCCCATATGTGGCAGTTTGTAGTTGTTGCCTCCTTCATGTTCCATGATTTTAGTTAAAACCTGCTGGTAACTCAACCACACCTTGTTTAGGGTTTCTGGACTTAGAGCATTATATGCTCCTTCCACTGCATCTAACAATTCAGCTACTGTACTTGGAGCACACTGGTCTTTTAAAGATTGAATTGCTCTGAAAAATCCAAGGTCTAGGACATTTACGTCTGGGGAGTTGGGGGGTTGGTTACATAGGGTGATCTGAAATCCATTGCTGTTACCTGCTGCCACAAAGTCTGTGTCTATTCCTTGAATGTGTGGCCTTGCATTGTCTTGTTGAATCTGTATGATTTTGGATAACTGTGATGGCCACTTTTCTTGGATAGCTGGAATTACTGTATTGATGAGCATTTCCTTTGTGATTTGTTTGGTAACACTGGTGATTGCTTTCACCTCTACCACCCCCTTTAGGGACAAGAACGAGAAGGAAAAACGGACGTAAAAAAGACACTTTACTTTATAGGGATGAAAAGGTAGGGTGTTGTCAAGAAATAAGAGGGGTTTTTCACCAGAGGGTTGGTGTGTATTCTTGTATTGAAAACGATACTTAGAAAAACTAAATGTACGAGACATACCTAGAAGGAGAAGACCTTCCTCTATTTTAAACTAGGAAGTTTTTGACATAAAGAACCATTTATCATCAATGTGCAACACATTGTGAAAACTCTTAAACGTAGGGCTACTGGGAATGGTATGAGGTTCTATCTGATCTAAATAAAACCTTAACCTAGAAATCTTATCAGCTTCTGTAAGGTACGCTTCGTAGTAGTGCTTCACCAATCAACTGCCTCGTTGTGTTCTCCAAATTCTTGGAGTTTTTGTCTAAACTCATTTACGTGTTTACGTGCAGGCCACCGGGAAGACGAGAGGAAAACAGCAAAAAGAACAAGAAACTAAAAAAGGGCATGAAGAAGAAGAATGGCAGATTTGGGTGCTGTGACTGGTTTCTAAAAGGGGAATATGCTTGAAGAATGTGGCTGCTAAAAATGGAAAGTGCTGAAGTGGGGGGTTTTAAAGTGATGTAATATCCCATTTTGAATGGGTTTTAGGGGTAGTTTTGGGCGGGTAGTTAAAAAAATGGGGGGAATATGAATTTTTTTTGGTGTTTTGGATTGTAAAGTACATTTTTTCCACTTTCTCCCAATGATTGCAAATAGTGACTTTTACTTTATGTTCCATCCGCCACTTTCTCTTCTTTCTTATCCTCATTCTTATTTTTAAAGCAATGGTAAATTGGACATTTCAAAGCCTTTTCCACTCCTCTTAAAAATGAGGAAAAGTCAAAGTGGGACTATCATTCCCGGACGGAGGGAGTAATAATACTAATAATAATAGTAATAATAATAATAGTAATAATAATAATAATAGTAATAATAATAATGATGATAATAATAATAATAATAATAATAATAATAATAATAATAATAATAATAATAATAATAATAATAATAATTACTCTCTCCGTCCCACTGTCTTTGTCCACTTACTTTTTGGCACACCATCCAATGCACTTCTTTAATCCATTTTATCTAGTAATTTGTATATTAAAAAATTATAAAAATTATATATTAATAATCTATATGTTAAGACGAATCAAACAAGATCACACATGACTATTTTTAGGCTTACACCTTGAGAGAATTTGATGAGTCAAAGTGCTTAGATGAACAGTTCCAAAAGTCAAAACTGGACAAAGACAATGGGACGGAGGTAGTATAATAATCACATTAAAAATATATCTACGTTTTTAGAGTAATTGGTTGAAGAGTAGAAAGAGTTTGAAAAAATGAAAATAGTTAGAAAAAACTGGAAGAAATTAGAAGGAACTATAAGAAACTGGAAGAAACTAGAAAGAACTGGTAGAAAATGGACGAAACTGAAAGAAACTAAAAGCAACTCGAAAAAACTAGAAGTTTATAGTTTAAGCCCTAAATAACAGACTCTTAATAACATATAAATAGGCTAGGGATGAATGAACCCAAAGAACTTTAAATTTTGAATGGACCAAATACAAAATTTTAGAGAGATTAAAGCATACGAACTATGATTTAATTAGAAAGAGACTAATTCAATTCGATGATTTAATTAGAAAGAGACTAATTCAATTCGTTAAGAGTAATAATTTTGCAAGGATGATTTACAAGAATATCATAATATCTCTCAATTAATTTCTTCCATTCATGATTACCACTATACTCCGTATTACTTTGTTCATCACTCCATCACAGTAAAAGAAAATAATCAAAGTGAAATTCGTTAGAATGGTACGAAACTCATGGCAATTTCCGTTAGGCTATGTGTAGCGTTCGAGTGTTCATTCCAAATCATGTGTAGTCACCATCTAGCTCACTTAATTTTCATATTGCCTCAAATCTACACTAATAATTACGCTTTTGTTTTAGTTATTACCTTTTTTTTTCAAATTAAATTCTCTTTTATAAAATAATAAAAAACTTGTTTTTATATGTTTTCGGGTTTAATCATTCTCTTTTAGGTTTATTATTTGTTTCACTAGGGATTATTCATTTTTATATTTCCATTTTGTTTGATCAATTTTTTATATTATGCTCCCTCCGTTCCAAAAATTCATTCACGTTTAAAAAAACGTGTCCTTTAAAATCCTTCACGTCAAGGGTATTTTTGGAAAATTAACACAAAACTATCACTCTCTTATTTTACCATTTTAGTTCAAATGTTTCTATCTTTATGGGACAGAGGGAGTGCTTCGTAACAATATAATTAAATTAAAACGGCCACAATTCCATGGTACCACTCTATCACCAACTTATACTTCCTTCGTCCCTGAAACATCTTCCCTTATTGACCTTTTGAAGATTTAAAGTAGAGATATTTTTGTACTGACTTTCTAAAAATACCCTTGATGTGATGCATACAAGTAAGATGTGATGTGTAGATTATTAGTAAAAATGTGTGATGTGATAGATAGAGTATGAAAAAGTAAATGATAAAAGTAATTTTTAATAGACAAGAGATTATATTTAGGGGACAATCAAAAATGAAAAGGAAAGATCTTTTAGGGACGGAGGGAGTACTTAATTACATGTGTATGTATATATTCTCTATTTAATAACATATGAATAGGGATGAATGAACCCAAAGAAATTTAAATTTTAAGGGCCTGTTTGGGAATAGCGTTAGCATTTTGGATAAAATTTTAACTGTGCAGATTACTTTGAAAACGCTATCCCAAACAGGCCTAAATGGACCAAATACAAAATTTTAGAGAGATTAAAGCATACGAAGGATGATTTAGTTACAAAGAGACTAATTCAATTCGTTAAAATTAAAGTAATAATTTTGCAAGGATGATTTAATCAAAAAATATTAGAGGGACAAAAAAGATTTATTAGTTTTATAGACCAAAAATATATTTAGCCCTCTTAACATAATTGAATGTATTAGTAATAATTTTCAATGCATTTCTACTTAGGCTAGGTGGAATCAAAGTAGGTGAATTGATCGATGAGAGAGAGAGAGAAAGAGAAATTTTAGTTATTTTTCAATTATTTTCAAAGCATCTCAATAGTTTTATTAATTTGGGTAAGTTACATTGGGGGAGTACATATATAAATAGCATGAGGGGGGATGGAGGATACTCATCATCAACATCTTCCTTTCAAGTAAGTATAACTTAATAATAATATTAAAAATATATTATATTATTTCTCCATATATATAGTAAATAATTTGTTGGCAGGGTAATTAATTAAGAGGCCGGATCTATATATAGCTAGAGATGGAGAGAGTGGAGGCGATTGTGAAAGAGGCAGTGGAGGCAGGGAAGACGGTGGTGATATTCGTGGAAACGGAGGAAGACGCGAGTTACGGCACAACCTACGCCACCATAGATTTCATCCACCGTGTCATCGGGGAAGATAACAAGGATAAAATCATAATATACGTGGTCCCGGACGAGTCGTCAAAGGATGCATTGCTGGGCACACTCTGCGCAGAAACCGGTAACGCCGACACCGAACTGCCGGCGGTCTACATCGGCGGCGAACTTGTCGGGGGTTCTAAAGCCATCTATAGCTTGCATCTCCGAGGAAGCCTCCAACGCATCCTACGAGATGCCAATCCCTAGCTAGTCCTCCATGCATCCTCCCACACCATGCCATGCATGATGCATCCACCTCCTCTCCACATACTATATATATAAACGGAGTAATATAATATACTCCGTAATAAAATATAATATAATGTGATATGATATTCCTCATATATCTCTACTAAACCACTATATATACTACAATAATTAAGGAGTTTAATATATAATATACAAAGTGCAATAATATAATATAATATACTACACGGAGTAATTCATATATATTCTTGTAATATATATAATCTACTCGGTAGTAGTAATATGATATTGTGTGTGTCGTCTGTACGTTTGGCCGGAGTGATCTCAGCTCATGTCGATCAATATAATAATGAATAAATTAAAACTCATCATGCTTGTGTTATATTGTCTCTCCCTCTTTACTTTTTCCATCTAATCTTTTCATTTTTCTTTTGAAGATGCATGCAATATATATATTGTTTAATTCATATCGGTTACCCTCTCTCCTTTGCCATTTCCATCTATTATATTCAATTTATAACCACATATCAAGTAATAACATATATGTAATTATGCATACAACTTTCAAATATCAAAATGATTTCTCCCTTCAAAATCAAAATGATTTCTCCGTTTTTATATTGGAGTATATTGAAGTACTCCGTATTTATTATTATATTTAAGGGTAAACTAGCTAGAAACAATAGTATGGTAGTTGCTAATTGAATAGTATTGATCTATTGGATTATTATATATATTGAAGTATTTATTATTCTATACATATTTTAAAATATTATATAAAACAAGTCTACTAAAACTATTTTAGTATCCAGATATCTAATATCAAGCAATTCTTTTTTATTAGAGGTAAAAATTTGCCAATTTTGGCTTAAAAAAACAAAACTTGACAAATAATGAGAGAGTGATTTGCTATTTCAAGAGGACCTTTCTTAGCCACTGGAAGAGCATTAATTGATGTTACTGATAGTTCGCTAACTCTGAGAGTCGGTGATGATGTTCGTACCTTTCGACTTCTTGAGATAGCAAACCAAAATCATGTGTCTTGTAATTATGTGAATGCTATTGATGCTTTAGATAATTTCTGTTTTGGTACCTCTTCTGTTGAAGATGGCCCACGAGAGGAAGGTATTATTAGCATGGCCAATTCAGCAGAATAGAAATATGTCGAGTTAATGGAGTATCGTGATAAGGTTTTGCAGGAAGAAGAGATTGTAGAGGAGGTTTTGGGTGTTCAAGTTGAGGATGAATAAGAAGATCACAAGAGGAAGAGAATGAACCCGAGCCGATGCTTGAACTTAAGACCTTGCCTCCCCATTTAGAATATGCGTTCTTAGATGAAGAAGAAAAATGCCCGGCCATTATTGCATCTAACCTAACCGAGGAGCAGAAAGGTAAGTTGATAGATTTATTTAAGCTTTATTTAAGGGTAAGTTGATAGATTTATTTAAGGGTATTAGCCCAACCTTCTCCACCCATAACATATTCATTGAATTGAAGGGAGTAGACCGGTGGCGCAAGAACCACTAAGGTTGAATTCCAATCTTAGGAAGGTTGTACGTGAAGAAAGAGATAATGAAGCTTTTGGATCCAGGTATTATTTATGCCATCTCTAATAGTGATTGGGTAAGTCCGATTCATGTGGTACCTGAAAAGGGAGGGATGACGATCACATCCAATGATAAAGGAGGACTAATCCCTAGTAGGGTGGTGACCGGGTGGCGTATGGTGGTTGACTATCGGAAATTAAATTATGCCACGCGAAAAGATATATAATTTCCCTCTTCCCTTTATATATGGACCAGTTGGTGGAGAACTTAGCTGTGCATGGGTATTATTGTTTTCTCGACGGGATGAGTGGGTATTTTCAAATACTTGTTGATCTTGCCGATCAAGAGAAGACCACTTTTGCTTTCCCCTTGGGAACATTTGCCTACCAGCAAATGTCCTTGGTCTCTATAATAGTTTGGGTTTTTGGAATTTCTTATCTGTCACTGTTATTTTCTAATATTAACTATTGAGATTGTGCTTAGGCGATGAATTGGGAATCCTATTTCCGCGACAAGGAGCTCTGCTTCTCCCGTGAATCGCATAAGATGAGGGAGTAAGTATGCAAATAGAATGGGATAATCCCACAATCTCGATAGTCTATTAGCATTATGAGTGAGTATTCTATCCCCCTCTGACCAAGGAAAATTAATTAATAATAATAAATAATATCCTTGGGACATTTATGGGATACTCACGAATAATTAATCTAATTCATGACAGAGGAGTAAATTTCCTAAGCCTAAAGTCTATTACATTTTAATCCTTTGGAAATTGGTTAGAGAATGATATCTTGTGCATCTCCTAAAGATTTAAGAAACAAGTTAGTTTGTTAATAAAAAGAAAATAAGTTAAGGAAATTGCAGAAAGTAATTGAAAGATTTATGATTATTAACTTCGTGTCGTTCTCACAAACTACGAGTTTTGACAACTGATCATGTAATTCCTTTTCCTTACTTAAGTTTTGCTTGAGGGCAAGCAAAATTTAAGTGTGAGGAGTAGGGATGGCAATTCAACCCGAACCCGAGCTTAACCGACCCGACCGACTACTAAAATATTCAAACCCGAACCGAAAATAAAATAATTCGAACCCGACCCGAAATTTTTTACCCGAACCCGACATCGGGTCGGGTTAGGTGTGGATTTATAATTTTACCCGACCCGAACCCGCACCCGACCCGACTAAAACCCGAATATTTTATTACATAAAAGTCTATCTATGGATATAATGAGCACTCCGTATAATCTCTTGACAAAGTGCTACTATATCAAATATGCCTTTTATAATCATTTTTATAATCCCTTAATAAAAAATGAGACATAAAAAAAGAGACACAAAAAAATTAGATTTAATCTTTTCAAAATTATTGGGGTACATCGAATTGATTATTGGTTAAAAGTCGGGTTCGGGTCGGGTTCGAGTTTCGGGTTGAAATGTCGGGTTCGGGTCGAGTCGGGTTTTTGGCTTAAAAGGTCGGGTTTCGGGTCGGGTTCGGGTTTCGGTTTTAAAAGTCGGGTCGGGTTCGGGTATATTACTATCCGACCCGAACCCGACCCATTGCCATCCCTATTCCCTAGTGAGGAGATTGATAAAGTCATTTTGTACTTAATTTTATCCTCACATTTAACACATCTTTTTACCCATTCGGCCATAGGAATACTTTTTCATCTTATTAAAGAATGGGCCAAGAAAAGATTAAAATATGTTTGATTTCAATAAGAAATTACTTATGCCTTCCTATTCGGGTGGAATTTAAAGTCGGATTAGGTGGAAAAATTGTTCAGAATTGAATTTTAAGCAAAATGATGTTAAGAGAACCGAGAGTACGATAGGCGACCAAGCAAGCGGCAGCCTACCTAGCCACCTGCCGAAAATAAGCAAACAACGTATTTGGGCTCCAGCGGTGAAACCACGCGCACGCAGCGAAGGATGGTTCCAGCGGGCTAGCAGGCTGCCTGCCCGCCTATTGATGACTGAGATATCTCTAAAATTCCAGGACTCTTCAAATTGGCGGCGGTGGGCTAATAGGCGGCCGCCTGTTTGCCCGCCTGTGAGGAACTCCGAATATAAATACCCTATTCGCTTTCTCCCTCACCATCATCAAAAAATCTTTTTCTTTTTCTCCATTTTAAGTTCGAGATTCCCGTCTTGTCGTCCTAGATAGAGTGTTGGTTTAAATATTCGTCAGATTTGTATTCAATTCTTCGAGATATTTAAGCTTTCTTGTACACGTTTTTTATCAATGAAAGTATCTTTTATAGTTTATTTTAAATTGTGAGCTATTATGGCTTTCTGTGGCTAAATTTATATTAAGGTATGAATTGAATTAAGGTTATGGGCTAATATATAATTAATTAAAATGAAGTTAGTTACTTGGTTAATTGGATTATTTGTCTAAAATAAGATTAACTAATTAATATATCTGACCAATTTTTTAATTAATCCTTGGAGATTATTAGTCTGGCTATGAGTTACGACAAATATTCTAGCGAGCCATATTTAGACATATTAATGAGGTCTAGAAATAAGAGAAGTTAATGAATTAAAACCTAATTAATCAAGAAGTTAATTTAATCTAGATTATTACCTTAGTCCATATATTTGTTTGATTTATACATGTTTCTAAATCATTGATTGAATTAATTCTGTTATTGCTATCATTTTGTTTGAATCTTGATTGTTTTATGTTTTTCTAGTTCAAGATTAATTACTCTATTAAATTAAAATATCAAATTAATTAACAAATACTTCCCTTTGTCAATCCTTGTGAGAAGACCGAGTTATTCTCAGTTACTTAACTTCACAAAGCGAGAAAGATCAAACAATTCCCAACACCCATATGGGTATGGGCTTGGTTCAAAATTAGACAACACATGTATGTGTTTTTTATGTTGTGGGGTAAAAAGAAAAAATTAAAAAACCAACAAAAAAACAAAGATTCAAACTAGCTGCTTAGTATATCAAACATGCACAAGCTTGAAATATAAACCAATATTTGGTGTGAAATATAACATTAAAAATTAATCTACATTTTAAATTTTTATTTAAAACACTGACGTTAATAAAAAATATTGTTCGTACACAAGTCACAAGAGACAAGTACACAATCCAGTAAGTATCAACTACTCCCTCCGTCCGGAAATTTTCTTCCCGTGTTGACTTGGCACGCTTATTAAGGAATAGTAAAAAAATGCAAAATTTTCAAAAATGCACAAACTATAAACTTTTAAATCTTCTTTTATTATTAAAAAAGTATTAAAAAAGTAGATTTGTGATAAAATAGAAGGGTGTTATTGATATTTAGCCTTAAAAAGCATACTAAAAAGGAAATGAGAAGATTATTTCCAGACGAACCAAAAAGAAAAATGGGAAGAATATTTCGGGACGGAGAGAGTATATTCTTAAGAAATTTCGGAATGGATTGGATTTTGCTCAACCCTTTCTTCCTAAATCAATGGGAGAAAGAATCAAGACTCAAGAGAGGACGGGGAAGAGTGGGTAAGCTATAGGTGCTTTTAGCATTACTCAACAAAAAGGACATTTCACAACTTCCCCTCCTTCAAAGTCACCGCTCCTCCCTCCTCACCCATCCCTCGTCTACATCGCCATTGCCATCGCCAACCTTAAAAGGAATGAATGATGCACGAGTTCGGAGAGGAGTTGCTGTTTGAGAGCTACAAGGTACCATGGCTGATTTGGATTCAACTGCTTGTCACAGTTCTTCTTCTTCTTCTACTCTTCTTTGGGTTTAGCGTTTTCTCTCTGGATCTTCCCGACACCTCCGCCTCCACTTCCTTCACCGCCCCCTCAGCCGCTAGGAGCAACGGTTGTCTTGGCGGCGGACAGTCTCACCGCACCGACCAGGTTCCCCAATTTCAGTCTTTTTCTTGGTCTTAGCTTCAAAATCTAATCAGTCTTCAGACACATTTCGGATTTTAGTGTTTCACTCGTCTGAAATTAGTATTGAATTTGATAATTTTTCGTGCTCATTCTTGTATTTGTATGTGTTAGACAAGTTGAATGGGTCTCCTTCTTGGGGAATAGCTTCTTAAATTATGATCAGGAAAAAATGGATGTAAAAGGGATTAGGGTTCCTCTTATTGTTAGAGAATCTGTGTGTTTTATGTGGATTCAGTTTTTGTATGCGGAGTGAACTGGGCAAGCATCCCTAGAACTGGAATTTTCAAATTCTGATCTTCAAAATAAGATTCTCTATATCTCCATCACATTTTGATTTGAAACATCTTCAAGGTTGTGCCCAAACTTCTCCATCCCATATCATTGATTTTCACTTCACTGTTTTGTGTAGAAGAAATGTGTATATCGAATTTGTGGTTTCTGTTTTGAATTCAGAGCCTCTTGTTAGAGATAGGGAAAATAGTCGAAATATGTCTTTAGGGCATTTGAGAGTTGGGCTACTTCTCTTTTTTTTTCAAGGAAGAAACTATTACTAGGGATATTGGCCTAGACATTTTTCTTCTTTCTTTTAAATTGAATGTCAAGTTTCCTTATCTTTGAAAAAAGATGACGAAGAATTGGATTGCAGGAGGGAGATGGGATTCTATGTGCTGAGAGAGGTGTAGAAACAAGTGCAAGCAGAGACGCCATAAGAGGAGAAGAAATGGATAATGGATCTTCATCTGTAAAAGATGCAATTCATTCGAGGCCTATTCGGCACCCTTGCCACTTTCTTGGAGTAGCTAAGCAAGCTTTCCTCAATTGCTTGGGCTTGGGTTCCAGTTCTGAGAGTCGTAGTAAAAACAGAAAACATGTGAAAGAAGACTAATGTACCCCTTAACCCTCCTTTCACACTTCTCATATACTTTGGATGAATGATTTTGACTGCTAGTCTTTGATATACGGAGTACTTTATTTGAAATATTGAAATATTAAACTTCTTTATTTTCTCTAGAGATACTCTAGTTATTAAGATATACTCCAACAAGACCTATGTGGCCTTCTACTCCGAATTCCTCCATCCAAACTGACCCCTAAGCGCACAACAGTTGCACACTTCTCACTTCGAACACTCTTTACTTTTACCGTGGCTTGAATGGTATGTACTTTCATAGGACTGTACTTGACCTTTATCAACTGTTCTGCAGGTAAATAAATATGGCAAAATGATAACATATGCTAAACCAGGGCGTCCTCTGAATGTTGAAGATGTGCTACCGCCACGAGAGATATCACAAGGTTAATGCATGATAATTCAATCCCTGATCGACAGCCCGAAGTCTAACCACATTTTATGTATGTACCATCTGAAACTGTAAAAAATTACACTGTTTAGCAACCACTGTTGTACATTTACATTCTGTGATCTGAAGCCAGCCACAAACTGCCCTCTTTAGTTAATTCTACAAATTAATGTTGAGATGAGTTTATCTGGTGCCACCTTTGCTTCTTTCAACTGCAAGTTCTCATTTATTAAACAGTTTGGCCTCCATGGCAGTTCCCACCATACTGATCTAGAGTATGTTTTATTCTCTCTGTTTCAAAGCGTATTTTTGTCCTTGAGAAGTCCAATGTGAACAAAAGAATCTAGTTTATATCATATTTAATACAAGTATTCTTTATAAGAACAAGAATCCCAAGCAAGTGGGGTATGTTAAGTTTCAACCATCAAACAAAGTTATAGAAAAATATGGCTAAACTTGGTGATTTTTAATAGTACACTATTGTCAGCAGATTTGCAACACTTAAAGAATGATTGTTGTGTTGTTTTCACAACTTTTGTATGGCTCTTTTCAGAAAAAAGTTGTAGTGGAATATCGGAAAAACAATTCCCATTGTCGTTATGAGAAAAGAACTGTAGTACAAAAAAGTTATAGTGAATTGTCGCAAAAAATTTGTAGCATTGTTTCAGAAGAAAAATTGTAGATGCAAGATTTAATCTATATGCAAGGATTGCGAGGGTGGGAATGGTGGTGCGAGATGCAAGAGAGAATTTCCTTTGCCATGCACACTGCTTCACCGGAAACGTGGAGGATGCTCTAGTGGTTGAAGTGATATGTCAGAGTTTCGTTCTCACTCATTGTCAGTACTTAGAAAGTTCGGGAATTAGGTGATTTATTCGTTAGCCAGATCGTCTGTACGGAGTCGTGGTCTACTCATGTGACTTTTATCTGCGATGCTTTAATTCACACTTTGATACTTTGAGTTAAGGATGTAAGAATTAACTTTTTCAAAAAAAAAGTATCAAAATTAAACTTACATTAAAAGATATACAAAATAAGATCTAACATAAATACTCCCTCCGTCCCCCATAGATCTTCCCAATAGTCCTTTTTTTTTGTCCACAATAGATCTTCTCATTTCATTTTTTAACAATTAAAATACCACAACTACCCCCACTTACTTTATTTATTACACCTCACCCACCTCATTTAATACACTCCACCCATTTTCATTAAGGATATTTTGGTAAACTTTCACCTTTTTCAACTCTCCTTAAAAACCACTAAAAGTCAAAATGAGAACATCTTAGGTGGACGGAGGGAGTATATTATTCTATAAATTGAGTAGCGAGTTATTAAAGTAAAAGCAAATAAAGTTTAATGCACCTATTATTTTACAAAATGAATAGCCGTACCGGACCGGGCCAAAATTGTTAGGGGCCCGAAATTTTTTAAATATGTGACATGATATGAGATTATGCGGGTGGAAATTAGGTCCACGCTGCCTCTTCCATCCGAATCAATGAAAACCACCTTTGTTTATTGTTGCCGCATGGATCTCAAATCAAGCCGCTGCAAAAGTGTTTGTAGGCGGCTGGGAGTTCCAAAAGTTTTGGCCACAAGAGTGTGTTGCAGCGCCAAAGAAATGGCATTTTTTTTATCGGAGAGGCTTTGATCTGACTAGAACTAGCAAAATGGTAGGTCGAATAAGTTTGAATTCAGGTTGAGAGCTACATGTTCATGATCCAATGTCGGTTCATGTCAACCCAACGGGTTATGACTTTCATTTATTTTTTGAAAGCTTAAGTACTTTTTATGACCGATTGTCAATATGATTTTGAAAAATTCTTATATTAGCGGGTCCGTCAGGTCAGGTTTGACCCATTTTTAACGGGTAACTTCGGATTCGGTCAATTTCAGGTTTGGTCAGCAAAATTTTGGTTCAAAACCCTGCATTTTCGGGTCGAGTCTCGGGTAAAAAACAGATCGGGTCATTTTTTGCTTGGTCTAGACCTGACCAACAAAATGGTACTCCAATTATATTTTTTTTGCGATGTTCAAATCAATTAAAGCACCAATTGATACGAATATCAGATTTGGAAGAAATTCGAGCATTCTTCAAGCTCTAAGAAAGGGGAGGCAAGGAGAGAAAGAGAACTTCGAACGTTTCCGAACTCCAAGAAAAGAGAGAGACAAGATTAGGGTTTTGATCATGGTTTATTGATTCCATAATAACTGGGTAAGATTACAATATATAAAGAGTAAAGATACGCTAGTTGACCTAATGGGCTCAGACCCGTTCAAAACTCTAAACATGATTAACTATCAAATATTTATAAAGAACTCTATTTAATAACGGCAAGGTTCCCATGACATAGCCCGACAATGTCATGGGATGACCCAGAGACGCTCCGGTCCCCCGTTCGTANCCCCCCCCCCACCCCACCCCGACCCAAATACTCCTCATCCCCTTCAATTGCACCCTACAAGTTGATTTTGACTTTGGAGTCAAAATTTTTCAACCTAATTCATCAAATTTAATATTTGATGAATTAGGTTTAAGATGCAAGCCAACTATTTAGGAAAAAGATGTCAAATTATCATAAATGGAGTAGATTTAGCTAAAATATGAGTGGATATAGCAGTACTTCATATTATAACAACTAATACTACCTCCGTCTTGTAAAACTTTTTCTGTTTTGACTTTTAAAATGAAAATTGTAGAAGTTTGACCACAGTAAAACGACGAAAATTGAAAAGAGTATGACTCTAGAAACGTCAAAGACTACGGCTGCTGAACTATTGGAGCATCCATTTGTGAAGACAGCAAGAAGACATTGACCTTCGCAGTTTAAGCGATGATTCCCAAGAATCAATTGGAGTTGGTTTATGTTGTACTTGTTTCAGATTCTATGAAGAAATCAGATGATGTTGCTAATTTAAAGAAGTAAATAACATCCGAATCTTCATTACCATCCACAGTACTTCCTAAATTACTAGTTTTGGTTGATTCTGAGGATCAAAATTTGCCAAAACAAATATGTGAGACGTATGAGACCTATTACTGGTGTGACTTTTCATATTGACAATAATTTGCTTCTACACCAATACAAATTCATTTGATACTGCTAAAATATAGGCTGACAAAAGAGGTGCTAATGAAGAAACGAAAGACAGAAGTGCTGTGAAACACTGCTGATAACAACCTTCAACAAATTAAGATGCAAGTGAATGGCAAAATATGCAAACGAATCTCCTGTTGGGCAAAACAGCAAAATAATTTACTTAAAAACTAACCAAACATAGTGGGAGGGCAAAACATATCTCCTGATTATGATGAGATGTGACCATCTGGTGCTGGCAAAACTCCTTTGTGAATATCAGCTATGGCGGAAGCAGTCTCAAAGAGATCATGCCTAATGGCTGCAGCCTTTGAAGAGATGTACTCTTTATGCTTTGATACCAAATCAACCCGCACAAACAGTTCGCGAGCACATATCTGAACTTCTCTCACACTTTGGGTTATTACTTCCTGTAGTTTGGCGCTTGACACCTTCAAAACCACACACACACACACACATATGGTTATGACTTAGTTGTAAGATCATCTTAATGCTTTCAAACAAAAGGCAATTTCAAGAGAGGATATAACACTGAGCCAAAAAAAACAGAATGGGAATTCGGAAAGGGAAACATACTTTGACGAATTCTGCTGCCTCCCTCTCAACAACCCCCATGCTTTGACCCTCTTCTTCGGCAGCTTCTACCATCTTTTTCGCTTCAGTTGCATTTCTAGAAGCGAACTCCATTGTTTCCCTCCGCATTAAGTCCAACTGTTCTTCAACCTAATTCATCAAATACGGAGTACTAAATTTTATACAACTGTTGAATATAAAACAAAACAATACCACTTTCACCAAACAAGACAAGGAAACATTGCGCAGACGAGAGCTGAGACTAGTGAACTTTATGAAGTGAGTTTTTCTTGTTATGCATGAGAGGGTAGTCTCAGAACCTATGTTTAATCATATGAATTTTAGTAATCATACAGTTAGGGGTACCTGGAAAGTTTTGGTCATAGTACAGAAATTTTCATATGACTAAGCAGCAGGGAATTATACTATCTCTCGTATTTACTATGCCGGAGTATATCTCTTAAGAAATCAAGTCAATTTAGAAAGCTCAAAGATTAGTTCACTGCTCTTTCATCAGAAAGAGATGTTGGTCAAGGCCAAAACCCATTTCTTAAGAGTTAACTTAGCCATGTACATATGTTTGATGTTCCATTTTTCATGATTTCTAAATCCTTACTGAATCCCTAAATGCTACTCGTATTTATTTATTCTGAATTAGGGCACTACTTTCATCTTATCATCTTATCCCCCCCCCCCCCAACACACACAGAAAAGATTACTCATATATGACATATCTCTGTAAGTTACGCAAAAAATTGCCAATTCCCCAGTGTGATGAGTAACAAAGTATCCTCACATATGTCATATATTGATGCTAGCCACAATGCAAACATGGTTTTCACAAGTACAATTTAGTTTACCTCATTGGAGTGAGCTTCAAGACTGAAGATACGATTCTTTTTTGCTTCAATTTTGGCAGTCTTGTCCACGTCTTGTTTCCGAAGAGAGATCAACCCTTCTAATTTCTCCATGGAACTTTTCTTAACTTCCTCATCCAAGGAAGCGAGTGCAGGCTTTAGGATAGATTTATAGTCTATTCCTAAGACCTCCCTGGTTGAGGATCCTTTGGCCTCCAACTGAAAATGGAATTCATTTCCTAGTTTTAACCTGAGAATTTTTCACTGCACAGATAAAATTCACTTGTGGTGACCATGTTTTTTTCTTATACGCAATTGAGGGATATCGATACACAGATACCTTCGCATAGCCTGGTTGGCCTCAATCATAAGCTGCTCAAGTTTTTTATAATCATGTCCAATCATAGAGTCTACTTCCCACCCCTTCTCTTCCCATTTATTCCTTGCATCCTCAATCTCTGCAATGCTTCCTTCCAAGGCCTGCAACTCCCGTTTCATCCTTTCTGCATCCCTGGCATTGATTCCCTGCTCTTCCACCCTCCTCTTCAAAGCTTCATTCTCCACAAAAATCCTCTCCTTCTCGGCTATCTTAACCTCCAAACACTTTTCTTTCTCCTCCAAAATTGCACTCCTTGCTGCTTTATGCTCTTCCAACTTCTCAATCATATCACGGGACTTCTTCATGACCCCTTCCAACGCAGTTCTCTCAGCCTTCAACACCTCCACCTCACTAGGCCCCACCTTCATAACCTCCAGCTTTTCCTCCAACTCCTGGGCAGTCCTTTCCAATGCCTTTGTTTCTTCAACGATTCTCTGCCTTTCATCAACCATTTCCTGTTTGATTCTGTTGTCCAATTTCTCCACTTCATCATCATCTGCTCTGATGAAATGCATATACGTCTCGAGGAAATATCTAAACATCCGATTTTCCCGGACTGTAAGCTGAGTCTGAGTCGAGCTTGACTGGTGGTGGTTGTACATGAGAAGCTGAACCAGCCAGTGAATTGCAGCGAGCAAAGTAGGCCAGAAATGAGGAGTTCCAGGAGCACGAAGTGCAGATTTGTTGTATTTCACCGGGCAATTTAATGATTTCACTAGGTAATAGAACTCATCTTCAATATTCTGAGCCGGGAATCCGAATTCAGAGAGGATGAATCTGATGGCGTGAGTGATGTCTTTGGAGAGAGGGAGGGGAAGCTTGAGAGAGAATGGGAGAGAGTGATTGGAGAGGAAGGCGTTCACCGCACGGATGGCTGAGGATTGGTAGTTCCGGTCGGTGACGATGACGCCGGATGTACGAGGGTTTAGGCCGAATGAAGATGAGGATGGTCGGCTGCTCGCGAAGCTGGCGTCGGAGTCGCGGCCGCCGGCAGACATGTACCGCCACGCATCGTCGGGCGTGGCGGCGGTTGGAGTGGGAGGTGGGGGCCTACGGTCCCTCGCTGCTGACTTTTTGCCCCGACGTCGCTCAGTTCCTCTCATCGTCGGCAATTTTAGGGATCTTCTGTGAGTGTGGCCGTAGCGGTGAGAGCACAGAGCAGACGACGGAGTTTAGTTACGGTTGATTTTCAAATGATTCTGGTTTTCTTTACTTTATTACGTAGTACGGAGTAATATACTTACTCCCACTTTTAACTCTTTTGGGTTGTTTTAAATTAAATAAAGGTGATATTAAACATTGATATAAAAATAATTTTATTAAATTTATTATATTAAATATTTTCAAAATATTATTTTATTTAATTAATGACTTTGTTTGGGAACAGCGTTTTCAATTAGCGTTAGCGTTTTGAATAAAATTTTAATGGTGTAGATTAATTCTGAAAACGCTAACTCTAAAGGCTACCGTCGGATAGGCTTTTCAAAACGCTAACGCTAAAAGCAAAATGGGACCAATATATAATAAACATTTTATTTAATTGCAGATCAAATGTTGAAAACAGTTGCCCGAAAAAAATCAAAATTAAACAAATATTCAGAAATGGAGGTAGTAGTGTTTTTAAACTAATACATATTACTTGAAAAAATAAAAAACGGACAAAAATTCAGTACTTTTCTTGTTTAATTCAAATTCAAAGTTCATCCTATTCTATTCGAAAAAATTAAATTAGACAAATACACTAAGACGGAGTGAGGCAAAACGTTAAATATGGAATATACTTTTAAACCAACCGTATATTCAAATTGTGCGTGACATTGTGTAGCTAAAAACCACACGAGTGATGTGCATCACGTTTACCATTGAATATACTCTTTTTTTCGGAATTATCTTCTTTCTTTATTATTCTTAAATCACGGGCAATTTTTTTATTTATGCCTTTTCATTGATAAATAAAATAAAATATTCTTGTCATCACTTATTTTATAGAACTTTTGATGTACTACATAATTTTGAATTATATAAGTTTTATTTTTAATTTTTATACTAATTTTTAAATAAAATAAATTAAAAGGATTTAAAATCTTATTTCGTTTTACATAAAGTGAAGATAATTATGAGAAAGAGAGAGTACAATTAAATTGTATATTCAAATTTATAAAATGTGATCCTCAAACACTAAAATCTTTTTTTTTTTACAAATTTAGTTTTCTTATATACTACGGAGTATGGTGGAGATATTGGGCCTAGAACTAGCGCCTATATTATATGGTCTTGGAAAGATCATGTGAGGCCCTACGCAAGTGAGGAGAGAAGGCAAGGCTCCATGCTCGGTCTCGTCCCTCTCAAGCTCGACCTCGTCCCACTCAAGTTTGGCCTTGTCCTATTCAAGATAGTATTGAATGTGTAGTTTTTGAATTGAATTTCGTTTATAATCAGTAAATGAAGGCTTTTGAATTGAATCTTTTGAATTGAATTTCGTTTAAAATCAGCAAGCTACACATTGCATGAAAATTCAATTCAAAATCAGTAAGCGAAATAGTATCTTAAGTGGAGTATCTTTTGATATCTCTTCAATTGTTCGAGAAACAACTATTGTCATTATGTATGTACAGAACCACTTCCACATACTCACCAACAATCCACCACCACCGTCACTGGCAAGGCACCGCCACAACCGGAGGCCCATCACCGAGGTAATTCCACACCCACCATCACCGACCTGCTATCGCCGCACCATTTTGCCAATTTAATTTTATATCATTTTAATTTTTTTCCATAGTATCTCCGAGGACCCCTCATACTCGACCAGACGGTCACTGAGAGGAGATAAATTGAATTTTGATCGCAAATTGGTGAAGGCAGAGAGTGGAGCATGCACTTGGTATTTGCAGAGATTCTATACTTATCATAATTGCTTCACAATGCAATTACCAAAAATTAAACTTAAGTCTATCAATCCATTGACAATTTTTGTATTTGTCAACTGTGCAATGTCTACTGACAAATATTATGTACGGAGTAGTAAAAATCATGACATTTTGTCCACTATAGATAGCCTATATTGTTACCCTTAAAAGCCCTACCCATGTGGACTAAGGGGCTGTTTAGCAAATTCTGAATAGGTAAGTGCTGAACCAGTAAGAGGTCTAAACCATTAAGTGCTGAACCAGTAAGAGCTAATATATTGCTTAACTATTCAGAAACAAATATCTGATCAATTCAGATAAGAGGTCTTAACCAATCAGACTCTGTATAAAACTTAACTATTCAGAGGCAAATATCTGAATCATTGAGACATCTGAACCATTAAAAAGCTGAAACAGAACTATTAAGTGCTGTTCAGACATAAACAAACTGTCCCTAAACGTTAGCGTGTAATTCTAAAGTAAACGCTATCTCCTCAACGGAACATAGAGAAAATACAAGCAGACAACTCATTAGCTCGAACTTCTTCCAATATAAAAACCCTAATTTTCCCCAACTTGTATTCCGTTTTGCTCTACCGACCCCCACCCCACCCCCGCCCCAAACCAGGCGATCAACCACCATTCTTTCTCTGCCAACAGATTGATCAATCTGACTTCCTATCAACTCAATATGACTCATTCATACTGTTGATTATCACTCACATTCTTGCTCAGTGACTCCAATGTCTGCCGGTCTCACAGTCTCTTTGCTTCTCCTGCTTCTCTCTATCGGCAATGTCTCAGCTGCGGAGCAGGAAGTCAGATCGCTATTGGAGTTCAAGAAAGGCATTAAGGACGACCCTTTGAACAAAATCTCCGGGTCGTGGAATCAGACGCGTATTTCGGATCTGAATTCCTGCCCCGACAACTTCTACGGGGTCTCTTGCGAATCCGGCTCAGTCACCGCCATTTCCCTTGACGGCCTCGGCTTAGCTGGCGAACTGAAGTTTTTTACCCTCAATGGTCTTAGGCAGCTCAGAAACCTCAGCCTTTCTGGCAATTCATTCACGGGTCGGGTCGTACCCTCTTTGGGCTACATGACGTCACTGCAGTACTTGGATCTCTCCGGGAACCAGTTCTACGGCCCTATCCCTGCCCGTATCTACGATCTCTGGGGCTTGAATCATCTCAATCTGTCGAATAATAATTTTAGCAAGGGTTTTCCAAGCGGAATTAGGAATTTACAACAGTTGAGAGTGCTGGATTTGCATTCCAATGGGCTATGGGGCGATGTACAGGAGGTCCTATCTGAGCTCAGGAATGTGGAATACCTGGATTTGAGTGGAAATTTGTTCTTCGGGTCACTCTCAGTTAGTCGAGAAAACGTGTCTAGCTTGGCTAATACTCTGCAGCACATGAACTTGAGCCATAACAAATTGGCCGGCGGGTTTTTTACAGAAGATTCCACCCACATGTTTCAGAACTTGCAGGTTTTGGATTTGGGGAACAACGGGTTAATGGGGCAACTTCCTTCATTTGGATCCTTTCCGAATATGAAGGTCTTAAGACTGGGAAATAACCAGTTCTATGGCTCAATTCCTGACAAGCTTTTACAGGATGGGTTGGTGGAATTGGATCTCAGCGGCAATGGATTTTCAGGTTACATGTCATTATCAGTTTCCCAACATTTTATTTATCATGTCATTTTAAGTTTTAGCAGTAGAAGCGGAGTTGTTGCTGCAACATGTGATGCTCTCCTCATCTTTTTAGGTATTCAATATGCAGTAAAATAGAAATGTGTAATATTTCTATGGAAGTTTTGAGATATTCAGTATTTCAGTTGCAATGCGTAGTTTGTGAATTGAATTTCCATCTTCAGTAGTCAAGCCTGCTTGGCCTGAAACTTTAAATAAGTGAGACCTTAAGATCTGTTTGCCATTAGCATAATGGACCTGTGTTATAAGCATACAAAAGCCGATGCAAGTTCAAGCATGCTATGCTAGGCTGGTTTACATAAATACGTCTGTTGATTTTTGCATTCTTTAGTGTCTTAAAAATATACCACTTAATACGGATTAAAATGTTAAAAAATTATATTCAGGTTTTGTTGAGTTTGAACAATACGTTAACCTTTGTTTCTTGCTTGTATCTTTCCTAAAGCATAATGAATTCCAATGCTTTATTTGCAGGCTTGCTTGAGAAAGTAAATTCAACTACTTTGAGGACTTTAAACCTTTCATCAAATTTCCTGTCTGGTTTTCCCTCTTCCATAGGAAATTGTTTGACTGTTGACTTGAGTAGGAATAAGCTCACTGGTGATGTATCTGCAGTTGAAGGCTGGGAAGCAGACCTTGAAGTTTTAGACCTGAGCTCAAACCAGTTGACTGGCATTCTTCCTAATTTGACTTCTCATTTTCAACAGTTGACTTTTTTAAGCATCCAAAATAATTCTGTCACAGGGAACCTCCCTCCTTTTCTTTTGGCATCTTCAAGACTGGCCATAGTCGATCTTAGTGCCAATGAACTGAATGGAGCTATTCCACCTATTTTCCTGGCTTCTTCATCCCTGTTGAACCTCAATCTTTCTGGAAATCACTTGACAGGCTCAATCCCTCTTGGAGGCTCACACACCAAAGAGCTCCTTGTCCTACCTTCATTTCCTCCATTGGAAAGTCTTGATCTCTCAAGTAATTCCTTGACAGGTTCTTTGCCTCCTGACATAAGTAACCTAGCCAGGCTTAAAGTGCTAAATCTTGGGAGAAACAACCTTACAGGAGCCATTCCTTCTGAATTGACTAAGATTGGTGGGTTAGAGTATCTTGATTTATCAAATAATAATTTCAGGGGAAGTATCCCAGATAATCTCCCTTCAAATCTTAGGGTGTTTAACGTGTCCTACAATGATTTAAACGGAACTATCCCTAAGAACTTGAGAGGATTTCCCAATACTTCATTCCGTCCTGGGAATTTTTGGCTTAGCTTGCCGAACAAGTTACCATTTGGTAATTATACTGGCCCACTACAAGGTAGCAGCAGGCGTCATGGCTCTAAAACAAGCATAAAGGTAGCAATTATTGTTGCTTCGGTTGGGGCAGCTATAATGATTGCCTTCGTTCTACTGGCTTATCGTCGATCCAAACTTCAAAACTTTCGGTCTCAAAGTGGGTTCAGCAATCAGTCTGATGGTAGGGATGTTAAACCCGGAATTTTCAACCGGCCTTCACTTTTCAAATTTCATGGGAGCTCAGAGCCACATCCAACAACATCCATAAGTTTTTCCAATGACCATCTTTTAACATCAAACTCTAGATCACTTTCTGGGAGAATAGAGTCCACCACAGGAATTGTTGAGAATGTGTTTGCCGGAGGTGTGCCAGCTGGACAAAGATTCTCTCCTGGTTCGCCCATAGCTTCTTCTCCCCACTTTATTGATTCAATTGAACAACCTGTGACTCTGGATGTGTATTCGCCGGATCGTTTGGTTGGAGAGCTCTTCTTCCTGGACGGTTCCATCACATTCACAGCAGAGGAGCTATCTCGAGCCCCTGCTGAAGTTCTTGGTAGAAGTAGCCATGGAACTTTGTATAAAGCTGTCCTAGGTAATGGGCATGTGCTGACCGTTAAATGGCTACGTGTTGGTTTAGTCAAAGACAAGAAAGAGTTTGCAAGGGAAGTTAAAAAGATGGGATCAATAAGACATCCAAATGTTGTTCCTCTGCGAGCTTATTACTGGGGCCCAAGAGAACAAGAGAGGCTGGTTTTAGCTGACTACCTTCCAGGGGATAGTTTGTCCCTACATCTATACGGTAAGTAGAGATTGCTGCATTTCTGGCTAGTTTCTTTCACATTTAGAATTGAGTTTATGCCTGATTTTGTCCCTCGATTTATGCTATCTGGCCCCTTAAGTATTTATTAGGCTCAATGTTTCTAAGTGAGTATGAAATTTGAATCCAATCCAGTCCTTTTAATATTATGCTCCAAATTATAGAGTAGTTTTGTGTGCTTGAACATAGACCCAAACTGCTCATCAACTATGTAATGTGGACCCGATTTAGTCATCAGTGTCCAAACTACCCTTCTTAGTTAGAGCGTTATATGCATGGGGACTAAATTGAATCTTAATTACGTAATTGGAGACCGCATTCAGTATAAATAAAATACTCAAGGATGAAATTGTGTGCGCGACAAAATTGAGTAGTAGTGGTGCCATTTTTTAGTTATGAATAACTTCCACTTCACGTGTTTTTTTTTTCATGCATATAATTCACTGCAGAGACAACACCTCGTAAATATTCCCCATTGTCCTTCAGCAAGAGGTTGAACATTGGTGTTGAAGTTGCTCGGGGTCTAGCATTCCTGCACGAAAAAGGCTTGCCCCACGGCAACTTGAAGCCCACAAATATAATCTTAGTGGGCCGCAATTACAGTGCCCGCGTAACAGACTATGGGCTCCACCGCCTGATGACACCAAGCGGCAACGCGGAGCAGATCCTAAACCTAGGGGCTCTTGGATACCGGGCGCCCGAGCTTGCAAATGCAACCAAACCGGTCCTCACTTTGAAGGCCGATGTGTACGCTTTTGGGGTGATTCTGATGGAACTGCTGACAAGAAGAAGTGCGGGTGACATCATCTCGGGTCAGCCAGGGGCCGTTGATCTCACGGATTGGGTCTCTCTGTGCAATCAAGAGGGCAGGGGAATGGACTGTATTGACCGAGACATAGCGGGAGGGGGGGAAGTAGAACAGCACTCTAAAGCCATGGATGAACTGCTTGCCATATCCTTAAGATGCATTCTTCCTGCCAACGAAAGGCCTAACATCAGACAAGTCCTTGATGATCTCTGTTCCATATCTGTGTGATGCCTTTATTTTGTTTGTAAATGTCTGTCTCTTTCTTGGTGGTAGCAGTAATTCTTTCTCATCAGTAACCAATTGCTTCAATTGCCATTTATATATATATATATATATATATATATATATATATATATATATATATATATATATATATATTCTTCCATATTACTTAAGAGTATTACCCTTTGGCCCCTTCAGTTTTTGTGGAAAGGGATGATGATGACTTGTCTGATTCAATCCGTTTATTGATTGACAAACAGCTAATTCTTCAATCAGTAGGAGAATTGCATTGATTGTTTCTGCTGCCCTTTGCTATATTTTGCACACTATTTACATTAGCTGGCTATTTGTTTGCATATATATAAGAATTTATGTGGACCTTAGCCTCCATATCTTGAGACTTTAAATTTTAGATTCCAGACTTCAGGATCTATTAGTGCAGCACTTATAATAGATCAACACTCCTCTTTTAAAAACGTATAGAAGATTCTGGTAAAAAACTCATCTTTTAATAGATCAACAGTGCATCTGTCAATGGTCAAAAACTGAAATATAAAAAAAAAAGAAAAAAAAAGAAAAGAAAAGAAAAAAGACCCGAATCCGATTAAACTCGAACCCAGTTAAACCCGGAACCGATTAGACCCGAACCCGATTAGACCCAAAATTGATCAAATTCATTTATATTTCATTTATCAAATGAATTTGGAGAAAACGAATTACCTATATATTTTTACATATGTTGATGTGTTTCTAAAAAAACATATTTTAATTATGGGTGCAAACCATGTAACTACTTTCATGTACAAATCTTTTACTTTACATTTTATAACTTAAGTTAAAATACTTTTGTATTTTTATAGAAAGTATATAAAAATTATACGGAGTAGTTAACTAAATTAACTAAATTTATTATGTGATTTATTCATTTATTAGTATGTATGTGTTTACTTTATACTTGAACTAATATAAATTTAAACTGATATAAACTCAAATCTATATAAACCCAAATCAATACAACCTGAATTGATATAAACGTGAACCGATATAACCCGAACCGATACAAACCCGAACCGATATAAACCCGAATCGATATAAACCTGAACCGATACAAACTCGAACCGAAACCAAACCGAAACCGAAAACCAATCAAACCGAAATAAACCCGGAACCGAACTGACCCGACCCGAACCGACCAGAACCGATTATAACATATATCCGAAAGAGACCCGAACCGAAAAGAGCCGAACCAGAACCAAACCGATTGACCCGATTGCCAGGTCTAGTCCTAACACAACATGGTTTGTACACCCATTCTACTTACATCAATGTTTCCAGTATTGATTTTCCCAAGACTCCACTTGCTTCATTGCACTATCTCTGGCATCTACAATGGAGTGGAGAGTTGCAGGATCAAAGGGGGGTGGCATTGTACATGGTGCTTTGAGGGATGGACCTTTCACCAGAGACTCCAACATGAATTCCTTCTCCAATCCTTTCGATCCGCACGCCATTCCCTCCGAACAAAGCTCGACTGCCTCTGGAGGCTTTGTTGGTTTGTATTTCAAGAGCTTCGCGTACTCGTTCAGCACGTGGAACATGTAGTCGTACACGTACTCCATCTTCAGCTCTTCCTCTATGTATTTGCTTCCTGCCTTCCCAATCTTCTTTGCCTGTTTCATCATCCATTACCAGATATAACATATGTCAGAGTATAAAACTTTTCTTGAGCCTATAACCATAAATTTGTGGTTTTGGTTGGGCCTAAATACCTGCTGGGGATGACTATTGCCCCATTCGACGGCATGTTTAATGGACCTGCATTTGTCGTAATCCCTTATTGGCCAATAGTGCTTCATCGGCATCAAACCTCGGGTGTAGAAATCGTAGTAATGAGGGTTGACTAGTAGAGTCACAGAATTACATGCCAATATGTATTTCTCGCTCACGGACCATGCTGATCCTTCAATATAAATCTTATACCTGTCCACTTTCCCTAATGAGTAAAGAATTTTCTATAATACACACACACACACACACACACCCCGTATAAAAGAACATACATAACATAACTGTTTTTTAGGGACATAGAGCAATAATTTTGTTTACCTATGAATGCACTGGTCAGCTAAATTGGACTGCTGATAACCTTGCTTTTGTTCCTGGATCCAATCCTACAAAAGTGTTTTAAGATTGTCTTAGAAAGTGTCCACACAAGCTAAATATGAACTCTTCAATAAGTACGGAGTATTAGACAATTTGACATTGGAAGCCCATATTATAATATGACATTGGCTCCAAGCACTTTCAATTGCACCCTCCAAATTTAATTGACTTTAGAATTTAAAAAAAGACCCCGAAGTCAAAATTTACCTGTGCATAAACACGAGCACCCCAATCCTCCGCATCGGAGACGTTACATTTCATTAGTTCCTTTCTAGTTGCAGCAACTTCAGGATTTCCTTTCCAATATGCATACGGTTCCCTCTCCTCCCAACTTATCTTCCCATTCCCTTGTTTCAGATCCTTTGATAGCCCTTCCCATGGCTTAATATTGATTTCAGGCCTGAAACAAACATGATGTCAATCGGAAATAACATAACGCGTATTCTTAACAATTGAATGAGTAACAAAGTAAATAGAATATGTACCATCCCCAGAACGACCAATCTGGAAAGACAATGTCCCAAGTGGCATTGTCCCCACAGTACCGGAACAATGGTGGAGGTGCCGTGTCATTCGGACCAGGAAAATCTGTCTTCTTGACGACAGGCCAATCAACAGTGTCAAACATGAGATCCAAATCAGGCACTTTTCCGGGGTATCTCCTCAGCAGTTGTAAAATGCCCCATAGGGTAAAAGTGTCTCTACTTTGGAATGACTTTCTGAATCTTTGGTAGTAAGCAATGCCATTCACTATGACCAGCCGGAAGTTGGCGGTTCTCCGGGCACTCATAACCATTTCTCTGGTGATTCCGGTCTCCCTCCATGCCCACAAGTCGTCGTGTATCCAACGGAAGTATTCGGGACATGCTGGTGGTGGTGGTGGAGGTGTTGTTTGGGTGTTGTCATGAATTTGCATTATGGGCAACTTTGATGGGAAGTAATTGGGTGGGCAGCTTGGGTTTGGACTTTCAAGTGCTGGTGAGCAATTCAGTGGGATTTCCATTGTTAGAGATCTTTGGTCAGTGTCATTCCAAGGTGTTCCGAAATTTAATGTTGATTTCTCGGAGGATTTGCCCTGCAAAATCCAGGACACGGCAATGCAAGCTAAGCAACTACATTTATGCTCAAAGTGATCAAAATATGTTGTTTTCTGCAAATCCATGCAAGTTCAACACTACAATAACTAAATAAAAAGGAGAAAAAAATACAGTATAACTTAGCATCTCTAAATTAGTAATAGTTCATATAAAATGTTGAAAGACATAAGAAAACTTTGGAACGCAAACAAGAATCAAAGTATATACTATATGGATTTTATTACAAATTAAGCAAATGGTGACATCCCTATTTGTTTTAGTGACCCACCTATCATACATCCATCCGGGATCATTAAAATTTGGTCCTTCTAGCTCGGTCGAACCCGAAATTCGGAGATTCTTCCATACTTGAAAAAGTGTATAAAATATAAATGGGAGAAGTATAGACTTTAGAAAAAGTAACACTTGCTGCATAAAAAAACAGAAGTTATACAGTACAAAAAATGCACTGTTGCTGTCACAAAAACAGAAATTATACAGTACAAAAATGCACTATTGAGTGCTTACTTACTGGAGTCGCTGCAAGTGTACCACTCTGTTAAGTAGAGTTGATGAAGAGAGAATCAAACTTTTAATAAGTTGTAGTTTTGATAATATTGAGTATATTTTGAATGTTGTTTTTATATATCAAATTTTAAGAATATAATTTTGATATAATTGCGTTTATTTTAAGATGTATTTTGTTACGAAAAATTACCACAAATAAGATCAAAACATTGCCTTAGGGGCAGTTTGATAACTTCTGAATAGGTAAGTGCTGAACGAGTAAGAAGTCTGAACCATTAAGTGCTGAACCAGTAAGAGGTCTGAACCATTAAGAGCTAGTATATTGCTTAACTATTCAGAGGCAAATGTCTGATCAATTTAGATAAGAGGTCTTAACCATTCAGACTCTGTATAATACTTAACCATTCAGAGGCAAATGTCTGAACCATTCAGACATCTGCTCACGAAACAAACAATCTGAACCATTAAGTGCTGAACCATTAAGAGGCTGAAACAAACAACCCCTTAATCCCTAAAATAGGAATGTCTGTATAGAATTATTGCACTGTGACAATGAGACACTGTATCGATATTTCACAATATTTTTTGGTATTATATGTTGATGGTATTGGTATTATAAATCCTATTTTAGAGATAAAAACATGAATGTCTTATTTTTGTTCCTTCTCTATATTTTGTTCCTATTTTGATCTTTTTCTTTTTGATATATTAAATTTTGTAACAATTATTTATTTACTTATATTTAATGTAAAAATTTGTCAAAAAAGTCAAAGTGTGGGAAAGTTTTTTTTGGGATGGGGGTAGTATTAATGTACTCAAGAATTAATGTGCTCTAAAAAAGAATAAGAAAGGAAAAACAACTTAAAAAGAAAAGTAATGTAAGAATACAAATAAAAGGAAAAGGGAAAAAAGGTGTTTTCTTGCATGAGGAGGAAAAAGGACAGATGCGCCCATAAATATTCTAAGAAGAATTTACCTAAGTAATACTAAAACATATTGATCTTCTCAATATAGTACCACATGTTTTTATTTCTGAATGTAGTACCACTGTTCAATGTCAAATGGTCATTGTTCAAATAAATATCCCCATTGTTCAACTAAATGTGTAACATTACTGGACATTGTTTTTGGTAGTAGACATTATTCAAGTATTATTTAGGGATAAAAATGTTTAAGTACTACATCGAAAAAACACATATGTTTTAGTACTATTTAATGCAAATTTTGCATATTCTAAGGTTATTAAGTGCGTGCCTTTTTGAACTGAGATGGAAGGAAATTTAGTTTTTGGGGGATAGACCGTAAAATTTGGAAAAGGTGATGGGAGGCGTATTCTAGGGACATTTCTTTTTTAAATTCTCTCCATTCTCCATGTTGTCGCTGCTAGCCAACACCACATAGTCTTTGAATGTCGTCGACATTGTTCTCTTTCTTCACGGATACAAGAATGTTGAATAACGGGGACCATGTCCATCTAGAGTGGGCAATGGGTGGGAAGTAAGTCAATGGATATTGATTTTTGTATAATGTTTTCTTTGGCCATTGAGACATTGACATTAACACAGGCATCGAAGTGCACATTATTAGAGCGCGCCTTATTTTATTATTCTCTCCGTGTCCCAGTATGTTTTTGTTATGCATTTACTCTAATTAAACATACTTCAAGTCTTCAACTATCAATTAAGTAAAGATATTAATTGTATTAATAAATTTGACAAAATAAATCTAACTATATCAATTTCGTACTAATATGTAAAGCAATTTTCATTTAATGGACAATTAAAAATGGGAAAGTAGAGTAACTTTCTCATAAATAACGAGCTCTTGGTAAGATACGTGGCAATGGGTGTTTCTCTTTATATATGGAGCAAAACAGTCGAGCGGTCACATATGAAGAAGTGGACGGCAAACGAAAACAGACAAAGCTGCGCCGGCTGTACGTGTATATAATTACCACTGCCAACTAACCAACCACACCCCTTATCGAGAAAAGTTTCAAGTGTTTTACCTATTGACTGGTAGTAAAAAAACGGAACTAAAAGACAAAAGTGACAAACGGCTTTTCCACGCTTGTATTTTTCCTTGTCCCCATATTCAAACAAATACTACTCCCTAGGTCTCTTCCCTCACACCCACCCTCCCTCCTAAACTCATAGGTAAATAAATAAATTCTCCCCCCATTCCAAAATTATCTTTCGGAAATTTGTGAACGCTAAATTAGTTTTTTTCGTTTTATACCAATTCAATTTGTAAAATAACGTTATTTTAAAACAGATGATATTTTGCATGTTGTTCGAAAGATCACGTTAATTTTGGAAAGGATAGAATACTACGTACTTTCTATAAATATATGAATAAGGAAAAATTCACACCAACAATTTCAGATTTGACTCATTATATAATATTACTTCCAGACTTTTTTTTTACACGACAACACTATGAGAAGTCATCGAATTTTACATCCTTACTCTAGTCGAACTTAGTCAGCTTCGATCTTAGTTACGTGGAATTATATTAACTGATGTTACATTTAAAATAATGAGTTTGTAACACATCTAGAGTTATGGAATTAAATTGGACATCATTTGCACTTTTTTAAATAATTTAAAAAGAAATCCTAATTGAACCAGGTGAAATCGCCCGTCTTTATCCTTGCCAATAGGAAGGCAACTCAAACTAAGAACTTCACACACTTTGAATACACCAATACATTATTTCAGATTTCATGCTAGCCAAAGAAATTCTAGGCAATTAAGCCCAAAATGGACTCAACGAGGATAAGAAGTACTCCGTATTGTTGAGCAAAAGAGAACCAAAGAGTAATATTGCATAATATACGAACTCTGGGGGTATTGATAGGAATTTTTTAAATAAATAGATACTATTCTCGCTTTGTTCCTGTATATTTATCTAATTTGACTTTTTTCTACTTAAACTTGATAAACTTTAAATTTCAGTTGAATAATTTTTTTATTTATAACCAGTCTCATTCCCATTACATAGGGTTTCAATGTCATGGCATGACAGTGGTCTCAATTGGGACATCTACGATTGCCAATTCAAGAAATTAATTGTTCCTAACCTCCCTAACTCACTCCCCCAAGCCTTTAAACCCCGCCACTCTAGCCCAATCCGAACCCACCCCATCCTCTACAATTGCCCTCACCCCGAATTTAGTTGACATTAGAATAAATTTTGTTTAGCACAAAGTCATCTAAATTAATTAACGAGCGATGCAACTGAAGGGGGTGGGGTGAGATAGGGTCGGAGCAGAATAAGAGGGTTTACTGGTGGAATTTCGGGGTAAGAACAAATAATTTTACGAATTGGATACTATAAGTGCTCCAATTGGTGTCAATGTTATCCCACAACATTAAAATCCAATGTCATTAGAACCTCACCTATTTCTATTAGTATAAAAGTGACTTCACTAAATTTATTTTGTTGATAATTTGAAAAACGCAATTCTTCAATTAATATACTATACAATTTGAGAATAATTGATGATTAAAATTTATTTATTTTAATTCAAAAAAGTCAATATGGATGAACACACTAAGACAAAAATAAATATGGGGTAAAATAAATACCGAGTAAATAAATACTTCCTCCGTACCTAAATATATCTCACATTTGCTTTTTCAGCAGTTGCGGAAAGTTTTGTTTATTTTTTAATTTCTACGTTTTAATTGATTATTATGAAAATTTTATTTTTTATTTCTATACCAATAGATAAAAAAATGAATTGAAAAAATTTAATATTTTATATGAGTATTTAGGAATGGAGGATGTAAATAAATAAGGATATTATGAGTAATGCTAGAGTCACAAACAAACAGTTAATAAAATTCACAAACTTACCTTTTTAACAGTTTTCTGGAAATAAGATGTGTTCAAATAATAAAAAATATTTTAATTTAAAATTCACAAAAGAAAAGTTTGTGAAGTTTGTGAACTATATATTTGTGACTCGCATTTTCTAGGATATTATTAAACCTACGCCAGCTTCACTATCATATCATCACATGCAATCATAATGCAGTGTGGGACAAATGCAAATGCAGCAACAGCAGCATAGAGAGGCCAAACCAACCAATGTAATAACACTCCATTATTCGTCCTAAAATTTATGTCTTTTACGCAAAAAGGATTTGTGTAAGAAATTAAAAATAAACTTTAAATACTACAAAAATTTGTAAAAAGTTCTATAAAATAAAAGATGAAAATAATATTTTATTTTATCAAGTAATCAATAAAACGTATAAAAACATTTCAATGTTTTTCAATATATAAATATAATGAAACTATTTTTGTATTATTTGGAGGTATATTAAGTTTTTATTTAATTATGGTCCAAATTCATCTTGAAAAAGTAAAACTCGTGGAGTATATTATTACACGCTAGCAGGGAGGTGTCAGAAGAAAGAAGAGAGCGGTGAGGTATACTTACGCCGGCGGTGACGGCGGAATCGAGCAAACGCGTGGAAACGAACGCGCAGACGAGGCAGAGAAGCATGAAGAGGAAAAGTGGTAGAGAAGAGCGGCCCTGCAACGGCGGTCTCCAGACCTGGTCTGTGAAATTTCTGTTACCTCCGTAAACCACCGCCTCGCCGCCGTTTTCTCTCATTCCGTCGACTGTCGCCAGCCGGAAATTAAACTAGAACAAACGCAGATTGATTAATTATGACTGACTGCGGTGGATTTACTTTACTCTCTGGCATATATATGTCTCGAACTCTAGATCCCGCCGGTCAACTTCAGACAAACTCAAAATTTTACAATATACTCCGGGACCCTGTAGCATTTTTCATGTATGTATGTCAGTATGTGTAAAGGCAAAGAGAGAGATGCAATATATATTAAGGAAGAGATATTTTGATGTTGACTTACAAAAATACCTTTAATGTGATGGTAAAAGTAAGATGTGAAGAATAGATTATTAGTTAAAGGGAAAAAAACCTAAATAGGACTAAAACATATCAAATATACCTAAATAGGAGTCCAAAACATAAATTCCCCAAATAGGACTTAGTTTGCATGGCCATCCCCAAAATACCCTACCCTCCCTCTCATCTTGTCGCAAACCTTTATTTACCAAACATAAAATAAGTATATTACTATTAAAGTTAAATGTTGCATTATTGTTGACATAAGGTGGCCATTTACAATATGAAATTTTAGTTTTCTCATTTACACGTACAACAATTTATAAGAGTCCCTAAAGTTGGTCATGTATATGCCAATTTGTGGCACTGTACACAGCGTTGAATGACAAAGGTTATTTAAATGAAACAAAATTATGAAATAAAAGTGTCAACAAGGAAGGACATTTTAAAAAGTACATTACATCTTAGTACAAGCAATTTTAACACAACTAAATCATACTAAAAAAAGTCATGTAATGCAACATAAAGTGATATCAAATAGTGTTTGGATCTTCCACTCATGGAATAAGATTTCTATGTGTTTGGGTGGACTATACCAGCATATGTACATATATACTAACGTCTCAATTTTGTAGAAAGGAGAAATAAAATCATAACAAGATAAGCCGGGATGTCTCCTAACAGCAGCCACCGCATGAACGCAAATAAATTGATCCAATTAGAATTCACAACATGTTCATGTTTTGTCCTTTAAACTCAATGGACATGTTGACTTTAAATGCATAACAAAAAAATAAAAATATGCAATGGTTAATATGCAATTAAAAAAATTCATGATANGTGGATATTACCAGTGTCATAATTTGTAATGTGGTGATGAATATTACGAACCATTGTAATGTAAAGTGTCACAGTATGTAATGTGGTAATGTGTATTACAAAGAGTTGTAATGTAGACGGGGCAGATTGTGAATTGTGACACGGAAAGGAAAAAGAGGGCAAAATCGGGAGAGAAAGAAAGAATGTGGCGGGAGAGGTCCTATTTGGGGGATAAAAAACATGAACTCCTATTTTAGGGATAAGCACAATGTTTTAGTCCTATTAGGGGTGATTTCTATTAGTTAAAAGGTATGATGTGATAAGTATGGTATGAAAAAGTTGATAGAATTTAGGATGGGGTAGGGATAACTGGATCGGGCTATAAGACATTTGAGTTGAACCACATTAAAAGACTGAATCCAATCGATTAGTTAGTCCAACTTAAGAGCTTATATACCAGTTATTTTACTCTTGAATTTCCGATGTGGGATGCACTCTAACACTCCTCCTCAAGTGGACAACCGGGCCATTTTGAATCTAACCGGTTGACCACTTGCAAATTAACTCCCATTCCCTTGACTTTTTTTTTGAGCGCCAACACCTAAAGGACCACGAGCCGCTGGGTATGGACTTCCAAACGAGCAATCGTGTTAAACAGGCCACAGGCCGTTGGGTACAACATCCATACGGACAACTGGGCTAAAGACTAACGGGCCGCTAGGAATGAACGTCTAGACGGACACCTTGACAAACGAGGTGGGCTAAAACTGGCTTTGATACCATGATAGAATTTAGGATGGGGTAGGGATAACTGAATTGGGCTATAAGACATTTGAGTTGAACCACATTAAAAGATTGAATCCAATCGATTAGTTAGTCCAACTCAAGAGCTTATATACCGGTTATTTTACTCTTGAATTTCCGATGTGGGATGCACTCTAACAAAAGTAAGAAATAAAAGTGGTTTTTGAATACATAAGGGAAGAAGTTAGTGGAACAAGAAAAAAAGAAAGGAGAAAGAGTTTAAGGAACTGAGGGAGTAGTAACTAATATTCTCTGTCCATTAATAATATTCTGATTACGCGTTACGATGTTTGACTGAATTTATTTTTAAATTATTTTATACAAAAAATCAAATGAAAATTAAAAAATAAAAATTACAAAGGTAAAAACAACATAAAAAGATCTACAAAAGTATAAGTGATATTATTATATTATTTATTAAATAAAGTTTGATCCTATAAATACTAGGCGAGAACTTTATTTTTTGGAGGGAGAGAGTATTTGTGTAACTCACTCACTCACCTACATAATCAAATGATTTGAATTTTGAAATGCTTCCCATCTTTTTCGAGTTTGACTTGGTAGAAAGATTAAGAAAAGTTTCAAAATGATTTTTTTTTAATGTTTATCCTTAATATGATAAAATAAAGTAAATAACATATATGGAGTACATTCATTCAAATTTTCTCTTATACCACTCTCACGGTTGATGACACCATTGCAAACATCTATGGGCACGATAACTTTAATTTTTTTCAAATAAAATAGGACACCATGCTACACTTACACCAACAAATATACCTCATTTGTACACCACAGGTTTGCATAAACATTTTGATGGTTTACACCGACACAAGTGTTGGTACATTAATAAAAATTCACACGGACACAAATGTTAGTGCGTTTAACAAAAATTAGTTTTAAACCAACACAAAATGTTGGTACAAAACAGCGGGGTACAAATTGGGGTACAAATCTTGGGGTACACATAGCATAATCCTATTACTAATGGTACCTAACACGGAATTTTTTTGGTGACGGCAACTAGCTGTTTTCTAGGGACTGAACAAAATTACACGTAATCTACACTAGATTATTCGATATTTCAATACTATATTGGTTCTTGAGTATTTGTCCAGTTTTGACTTTTTTCGATCAATCATTTTCAACATTTGATCTATAATTAAATCAAATATATATTGTATATTAATTAAATACAATAATATTTAAAAAATATTTGATATAATAAATCTAATTAAACTATTTTTGCATCAATATCTAATATCATTTTTAATTATTTAGAGGTTAAAATTTACCAATTTTGACCGAAAAAAGTCAAAAGTGGACAAATACTCATAAACGGAGGGAGTATTTTAAATTTCACCCCAAAGGGATGTACTAGTGTTTTAACGATTTACACTGATATAAAATGTTAGTTCAATCAAAAAAATTTATACTGACATTTTGTGTCATTGTAAAGTATCACGCTAACACAAAATATTAGTGCATGCCTTCGTGGTACAAAGTAGGTAGGCCTGTCAATGGGCCGGACATAGACCAAAACCCGTATAGTACCCATAATTTTTAGCAGGTTTAGGAATAATAAAATATCGTTTACATGTACTGAATCCGTACCTGTTATTTTTAAAAAATAAAGCATCGATCGGGTATAGGACCAGTAGTCCCGATCCGTTTAAAACCCTACCGGCTAAATAATACTTCCTCCATCCCAGAGTATTTGTCCACTTTCATTTTTACACACCATCCAATATACTTCTTTAATCTATTTTATCTTGTAATTTGTATATTAAAAAATTATAGAAATTATATATTAATAATCTATATGTTAAGACAAATCAAACAAGATCACACATGACTATATTTAGGCTTACACATTGAGAGAATTTGATGAGTCAAAGTGCTTAGATGAACAGTTCCAAAAGTCAAAAGTGGACGAATATAGCGGGACGGAGGTAGTATATAATATTAAATATTACGAAACCATACTCCCCTTCTTTGCTACTCTCATTCTTCATTGGTTGTGTGGCTTCCAAATCTATTTGCATTCATTTCACCACATTAGAGCATGTAGATGTTAGTTTATGCAGTAATATGAAATGAATAGTTTGAAATTAGTTGTTATGTTACAAAAAACATTCTAGCAATAATAATGAATGTGATAAGAACACTGATTATGAACGTAAGATTTTTGTTTTAGATTTTTTGGTAAAGAAGATTTGTTTTTGTTGTAGTAACGTATTAGTGTTATTTTTATTTGTATTCAACTAAGATGTTTTTCATTCATAATATTTCCACTAATCTTTTTGAAGTATAGAAAAATAAAAAATGTCAATTTGTATCACGAATATACCCGACCCGATACCAAGACCCAATGGGTCTAAATCTAGGATTAAAATTCAAGACCCATCGGGTAAATGGGTACCGATCAGGATAAAGTTTTTTAAAAAGAGAATGGGTAAAGAATACTATGGGTCGACCCGAACCCGATCCATTGACACGCCTAAAAGTAGGTTACAATTTTTGGTGTATAAATATTATGTTACGGAGTCATGATCACAGCCACCAGAGCGCAAAAGCACTCGCGTTCCTCGTCGTCCAGGATGGCAGCGCGAGTACGAGATGGAGTAATATTCTATTTTATTATCATTCATTATTATAACGTAGATTTTTAGTAGGTGAGCAAATTATAAGCTCCTTCGGGGGTTTCTTTACGGTTCTTTACCCCGTCGCTTTTCTTTGAACCGTCAGGATAGACAACGTAGTTTTTTAGGTTGGGGAGTCTCTATACTATAAATAGGGACGGATACTATGCATGATAATTATCAATAATACAAACCCTAATTCCCCTCTCCTTGCCGCACGGCACTTCTTCTGCACCCTGTCTTCTTCTTCGTTTCTCCCCCTTCTCCTTCCCCAGCTTCTTGCACGAGTTAGAAGGCACTCCGAGCCCTTCCCAAGTCGATACAATCGTATCATTGGTGCTCTCGTTGAGTTGTCATGGCTTCTAATCCTATCACAGCAGCAGATTTTCAAGAATTTCAGAAACAGATCGACGTCCAGATGCTCTCACACACATCCGCCAGGCAAACCCTAAACCACAACGTCAAACAGTTGCAGCGTCAAGTGGAGTCCGTGTTGGCACGATCGGCTAGTAACCCATCCTCTGCCGGGGGACCTCGCACGCTGGAAACAGGGTCTCTCTTGTCCAAGTTAAAATTGGAGATGCCCAAAACTGATGGCAGTGACCCGTTGGGGTGGCTGTTTAAGGCTCATGAGTTTTTTGTCTTCTATGCCGTACCCGAGGAATCCCGGCTAGCCGCCGTATCTCTTATGTTGGAGGGACCGGCCTTGGATTGGTTTCGATGGCGCCAACGCAATTATCTTTTGCGTTCGTGGGGGGATTTCATCACGAAGTTCAAACTTCGGTTTGACCCATTGAGTTATGTGGATTATTTTGGGTTGCTCTCCAAGGTTCAACAAACTGGATCGGTCTTGGAGTACCAACAAGCCTTTGAGAAGGTATTGGTTAACGTTACGGGAGTGGACGAGACCAACCTCCAATCTCTCTTTCATGCCGGCCTCAAACCGCATCTCCAACACGAGGTTATGATTCTTAAACCGGATTCTTTATCGGCATCCTTTGCTCTTGCTCCTGAATTAGAAGTCAAGTATTCGGCATGGACTTCATCTCTTCCGTCCAAACTGCCGTTCCAGCGGGACTATGCAGGGCCGAAAACCCCCCAGGCCCCTCCTCCGTTGCTGCCACCTCCGGGACAGAAACCGCCGCCGGGTGTCAAAAGTACAGCCCCACCGCCGATACGTCAACTCTCTTATGCAGAAAAAAAGGAACGGGACTTCAAAGGTTTGTGTTACAATTGTGACGAGAAGTGGGTCAAAGGCCATCATTGCGGCCGCTTTCTCCTTCTCCTCGAGGATGATGACGAGGAGGAACTCCCTTTGGCTATCACGGATGATACTCTCCTCACGACGGATGTTTCGTCCTTATAGAGCATGGCAGGTGTGTCTACTCCGCGTTCTTTACGGCTGTCCGGTATGATCTCCGAAGTCATCGTGGATGTTTTGATTGATGGTGGAAGCACCCACAATTTTATTCACCCCTCCATGGTCGAGAAACTTCATCTTCCTGTTACAGATGTCGCTGCCTTCCGCGTTTATGTTGGGAACGGCGCGTCACTACTGTGTAAACAGCGCTGCTCCGAGGTAAACCTCCTCCTCCAGGGATTCTCCTTCGCCATTGATCTCTTTGTGTTACCCATCCATGGCCCCCAGGTGGTGCTTGGCGTGTAATAGTTACAGTTGCTCGGAAAGGTGACTCACGACTACGCCTGCCCGTCTATGGAATTTGAGTGGCAAGGTACTTCGGTTCGGTTAAAAGGGGACGGCATAGGCCCTCGGCCCATATCATTGCACCACTTACAGGGACTCCAAACTTCGACCGATATTGCGTCATGCTTTGAATTGGTGCTGACTCCCACTTCCACGGCACAGGCACCCTCTGATCTCCAGTGGCCAGCCGACCTCCCCCCCGCAAATCAAGGAGGTCTTGTAGCGTTTTGGATACATCTTTACGCAGCCCACCGGACTCCCGCCACGGCGCCTGGCCGACCATCGGATATTCCTCCAACCGGGCAGCAACCCGGTGAATGTACGCCCGTACCGTTACCCACAATTCTAGAAAAACGAGATCGAGAGGCTCGTTCGGGAGATGCTCGATCAGGGCTTAATGCAACCCAGCCGAAGCCCTTTTTCATCCCCGGTGTTGCTAGTTAATAAGAAAGACGGGTCATATCGTTTTTACATGGATTATCGGGCCTTGAATGCGGTCACAGTACCCGATCATTTTCCTATCCCCACGGCCGATGAATTGTTTGATGAGCTTGGGGCGGCGCGCTTCTTCTCCAAATTAGACCTTCGTTCGGGCTACCATCAAATCAGCATGTGCGACCGGGATATCTACAAGACCGCATTTCGTACCCACGAGGGCCATTACGAGTTTCGGGTTATGCCATTTGGGTTAACCAACGCACCATCCACATTCCAGGCATTCATGAATCGGGTGTTTGCTGCTTATCTACGCCACTTTGTGATTGTCTTCTTCGACGACATATTGGTTTATAGCCCCACGCTCGAAGACCACACACGGCATCTCGAGGTCGTGTTGAATCTGTTATGCACACATACTTTCTTTGTGAAGCTGTCCAAATGTTCGTTCAGTACAACCACCGTTCACTATCTAGGCCAAGTCATTACTAATGGACACCTCCAGGCCGATCATACAAAAATTGAGGCCATGTTGGATTGGCCAACGCCAACGAGGATCAAACAACTGCGTGGTTTCTTGGGGTTAACAGGTTATTATAGGCGTTTCATTTAACACTATTCTCATTTGGCGGCTCCATTAACCGACTTGCTCAAAAAAGACTCTTTCTCATGGACACCGACGGCAACAGTGTTGGACATGAGTTCAAACCCCTTTATTATTTTTCTGGAATATTTTTTGTTTTGATAAATGACAAACAGGATGATGAAATTCAAACGATAATCGAAAATTTATTTTTTCGTACCGAGAAAAGAAAAGAGGCGTATCAAGAAAGTTACGGGATATAATTCAACGCTCACCCCTACGCAGATTTTTGAAGTGAAGTGAAGACTCCGAAGACTTTTTAATTTTTATTGAGTCTAGGATTCTTGTAAGGATGACAATAATTTTTGCATAAACAAATTAATTTTCGAGGGATAAAAATTATTATTTCTTGAGTCAGTTGAAAAATTATTTTTTCTCTGTCTAAAAATATTCTTTTGAGTCAGTTTCAAAATAGTGTGTCAAAATTTCTTTAAAATATTATTTAAGGATACACAAATTTTTTGTGGTAAGAAAAATGTACTTTAAAATTTTTTTTTCTTGTACATCGTTTGACACACAAAATATTTTTGGGACTCAATTTCTACACCAAAATTCAAATATTTAATTCAAATTTTGAATTTGAATTAATTTCTTTAACCCATTTGTATTGTTTGTTTTTGGGAGCCTTATATTATTCAAATTGTTGTCTAAAACAAAGCATTTAAATCCAAATATCCATCCCACTCGCACACATGTCTTGGGTCCTCATGTTTGAGAGCTGTTCGTCACTGGATCGATCCAATTGCTAGGATCGATCATCTTGTTGTGCGCTGCAGGGGTTGGGATCGAT